TTATGGAGAGCAAATGAGAGAGCGCGCGCAGGGATGGACCCGGACGGCTCTCCCGCCCACCTTGCGCCCTCCTTCACAGTTTATACCGGAGATGTGCCGTGCCGTCAGCGGTTGCGCATCTCGAGAAGCACATCAAGGGCGACTTTTCTGTGCAACCCGAAGCACGCACGCTTCCACCGGGTTGCACCGTTGCAGGGGTGCGCGCAGGCAGTCTGGCACCGGCGCCACCGATGGGTGAGACTGGTGAGGCTTCCAGGAGGGGTGTCGGCCAAAGTCCTCTCCGTTCCAAAATATGATTATCTTTCCTTTTGGGCAGCCAAAGTTGTCTCTCCCTATCTTTTCTTCGTCGTGTCTTGGACGGCTGTGCAACAGACTAGTGGGAGCTGGTGGTCGTGGCGCGTGCGAATTGGCATAATTAAAAACGGAAAAACTCAAAATCACCGGTTATAGATTGATTGGCGCATGAGCGAAAGGTAGAAAAGAGAAAGATTCTAGAACCCGCGTGGAAGCCAAGCGGGAAGAACACGTCATGGCCGGCTCACTGCCGACCCTGCATCCGCTCGTCCGGCCACGGTTGGTTGCCTGACGGGATCGCCGGCAGGCTAGCCATCAGCCCCGACGTGGGCCCGCCGCGGCCTCTTGACCCGGAGTGGTCTCGGGCTTCTCTCAATTGCCGGCGGTTCGATTCTGATGGTGCCGCCAGACGGGCCTGGCTTTGGTGGGCCGTGCGTGCTTCGCAGCGCCGTCCTTTTATGTATACATCCCTCGAGGCCGATGCCCGATCGGGGGGCCGAGCCGTCACACAGCAATACCTGTAGGGCTGACGACACGAGACCGTTGCGGCACGGTGCTTGGCTGGTTGCTTGGCTGCGTCATCTCTGATAGACGGAGGTCGTGCGACTCTCCCTCCCTTCTCTGCAGACCCCGGCCAATCACACGCCAAGTCAACCCTCGCGAGCTCTGGACTCGGGCGCGTCCGAGGCCGGAGTGTCGGGTCTGGACCCCTGCGCCCTCTGCCTCTGCCCGACAGACGAGAGCGGAGGGCGGCGACGAGCATTGATCAACTACTGCCAACAAGTGAGCGAGCACCGCGTCCAGTGCCTCTGCCGCAGGCCTCTGCACGGGCATCAGCAGTCGTTTGCTTCGGGTCCGAAGGGGAGCCCCACTGGGGGAGGAAAAGGGGGGCCCTTGAACGAAAAGAGGAAAGTTTGGCTGGGCGGGACGGGATCATGGCCTGTGCTGCTGGTTGGGATGAGCGATTGGCCCGGGTCCAAGTCGAGCTACACGAGGGAAGCTCGCCTCGGCGTGGGCTACTGAGTATTGTGGGCTAGCCTATTCAGTCAGCCAGCCAGCCCAGGTGCTGCAGATCTCAGCTCTCGTGGCCCAGACGCAGCACGAGGATGCCAAAAGGACGAGGGTCGAGTCAGTCAGTGACACCTGTTGTTGGCAACCACCGCCTTGGCGTGGTGGCTTGCATGGATGGATGCGCCGCACCACCCTCTTGACCGTTGGAAGAGCTTGACGTCCCCATGGCAAAAGCCCAGCCTGACGAGGAAACAGTCGTCAGAAGGGCTCCAATCTCCCGCCACCCTGTCTCGTCATGTTGGCCCTGCCGGATGCTGCCGGCGGAACGGCCAGCAAGAGGGTGCTTGCGTCGCCGGCAGGCATCTCGACACGGCTGACTGGGATCTGGCGCCCCATGTCAGCTTACATACTTGGCAGTCGACAGGCCCAAGGGCTTGGAAAGTTTGGTGTCCCTTTGAACAAAGGCGCCGCCCTTGACGAGCTTTACGGCAGCATACGGAGTAGGGCAAGGCAAACCCGGGCCATCGGTTCATTGATCCCTGAGCGACGCCATGCAACCATTCGTACTGGTAGCCGAATCACGATGGAGAGTCTGACCATCTGACAGACGACGCACCTAGGCCAATGTGTAGTAAGCGCTGATGCCGTAGAAGCGGTGGGCCAGCAGCATTCCTGCCGGGTCAGACTGGACGCAGCGTCGACCAAGATGACAGCCGTTGCCAAATATTGGCCTGCTTCAACCGCTTCAAGGCAGAAGCAAAGGACTGAGCACGAGGGCTCGAGCCATGGCCCTCCTCTCCCGTTGCCAGCTCCCGACCTGGAGCATTGCGGCTCCACAGAGCTGAGGTCGCAGGGACGGCTTGGCAGGGACGGTAGCAAGACGCAATTTGACCACGGTCCTTGGCTGCTCCTGTTGTGAGGGGCCAGGGCGAGGCGAACCTGTCTGGACATGGCAGCAGTTGGGTCCCGCCACACCACTGACGATGCTGGTCAGATGACCACTTTGGCACGGCAGTCTCGAAAAAGGGTATCGTCGGAAGCAGGCGAGCGAGCACAGAGGCGGTAGGCGGTAGGCGGTAGGCGGTAGGCGGTAGGCGATAGGCGGTAGGCGGAAGACGTTGGCGCAAAGTCAGCGCCAAGGGAAAGACGGCTGGAAAAGGCTCCGTCGCGGCGAAGAAGGACAAGACGGCATCGTGCCTGATTGATTGCCCCTATTCCCCCGCCAGGCATTCCCGCCAAACCCGAGAGCTTCTCGCCAGTCTCCACAGTGACTTGGCCAGCAAGCGAGGCAAGCGCGTGCCGAAACGAGGGCGAGGGAGCTTTGGTCGTCTGGAACCCGGAGCGTCGCTTATTGTTGCTCTGCCGCCCGCTCCAGCACCCGAGGTTGGTGTCAACGAGGAACGAGGGCTGAGCAAAGATGTCACGCCCCCGCGCAGGCGCCGAGTCCCCCCAAGGTCGGGCAACTTTGCAGAGACTACCTTAGTACTTACTACAGGTAGGTACGGTACCACTATGAGCAGCGTTAGTAGTGTGCACCGTAGGCGTCGAAATACAAGGCAAATTACCAGAGTTGGCTGCTAACCTTCATCACTGAAATGACTTAACCCCCACCAGGTACCCCGGTACGGAGTACCTACACCACTGTAGCTGTGTGGCTCGACCGGCTTGGCCCTACACGCCCCCCCCCCTCGTGCGAGTACCGCGCTGCTCAATCCCGGCCCGGCTTTCCAGCGAGAGCCAACGGGCCGGCGCCACAGCTTTAATGCCTGCCTGGTTAGGTAACCTCGAAATGATGGGAAATCTGCAACCCTACTGGACCAGACAATTCACCCACGTATTAATTACATAGCGTTTCCTCGCCTCGGTACTTCCTAGTCTACGTTATGGCGCTGGACGCGAGGCAGAGAGAGAGAGGAAGCACTTGACTCTGCTTGGGAACCAGTTCCAATGGCATGCGGAGCTAAGCACCGGTGCAGACGGGGCCGGGCAAATTATCCGAACAATGGCTTGTTCTGCATCTCCAGACCGAGCCTACCTGGGCACAGACTCGAAACAGTCGCCTTGGGATTTCGGGACGCAGCACGTGGGCCGTGCTCTCTCTCACCTATCACACATCCTGGAAACAGGTTCTGGGTCGCCGTACTCCGTACGTACTGTAGGAACAGTGTTTGTTACAAGGGCTGGAGCAGGGATGCCCAGTGCGAAACCAGCTGGGTTGGGTGAAGGAAATTGCGTCGACGTCTGTCCGGCTTCTGTTTACTCCGTACGCACAACTGGATCTGCTGCGAAACCTAGAGACTTGCTTGATGGCCTAGCGCCCGAGGTGGGCGCTATTAGCAGTCCCCTACGGAGACGCCCCCCGGTTCGCGCTACCTCAGGTACAGTACTCGGTACGCACGACCTCTTGGCTGCGGCTATCAGCACCAGAGATGCAGAGGTACGGATACCTAGTACAGTGCTGTACGGAGTACGTACTCGAGGCGACAGACCCCCTTTCTCTCTCCCCTCCCCTCTTCTAATCAAAAAGCTGCTCCCCAAAAACGCCCCCTCCCCTCTCGCCACGCACCCCCTCCCATTCGAGCGCTGTTGCCGTTGCCGCCGTGGTTTCCAGCGGGCAAACGGAGCATGACAAAGGGCGGGTGGACGGCGGGTGGACGGCGGGTGGACGGCGGCGGGTGGATATCACGACTCTCGGGACCAAACAGTGGCGCCTCCAACCCAGCTGCTTGGGATCGGCCGTAAAGCGACGAATTGCAGCTGAAGAGTCAACGGCACGCCCCCCCTTTCCCTTGCCCTGCCACGACGAGGCCCTATCCGTACAGTACAACGTGGTCCGCCCTTTACAGCCTGTCCCCCTCGGACCCTCTCGGCTTCTCGCCTCTCGCCTTCGCCCTCTGTCGACAGAGACAGGGGTTGACTCGGCCGGAGATGTTCACATTGACATCGTCGACATGTTCGAGCTGGGCGAGAAAAACCAGACGGCCATGATGCGACGCCAACGACCCATCCATCCTCCTTCCCCCATGCTCATTACCCACGATAGGCCTACGATAGGGATTGCAGCTCTTCTCCGTATTCCGTACCTGGCCTCTAGCCGCACGCCTTCTCGGAATTGGGGGCGTGCGCCTAGTGCCCGAGTACATGCTGTACCACCCGACACCTGCGTCGTCACCGTCTTGGGTCTTGCTTGGTCTCTCTCCACCCGACGAACAACAAAACCGTCAGCCCTCCTGCCAAACTCTAATGTCTCCTACCGAGACCACTCTGTTGTGCACTTATACCCTCGTCGAGCCCACGACATTTTCCTCTGCTGCCTGTATCCAAGTCCTTGTCCTTCCGCCTCTTCCCCCTTTCTTGCTGGGATCCCTGTCCCGTATCGATTTTTTCTTCCTTCTCTTCTTGGCCGGCCTTCTTTTCGCTACCTCGTTTTTAGTGCTGGCCCTTGAGCGTGCATTGCAGCTTGGTTCTGACGATACGGATTCCCCGAAGCCTCGCCACCTCCTCGAAGCCTTGTCCTCCCCCGAGTCAGACGCAGGCGCCTGCTTCTGCAATACAAACGACGACTCAGCCGCCTTGCTCCCGTCGACCAAGCTCGATGACGAGACTAGCGTTGTAATCATCAAGAAGCCTCGAGCTCCCGAGCCCAATCCCGTCACTCAGCCCGACTTCGCCATCGCCGGCCAGGCACGCACGCCATGGCATTTCCGCCACAATATCGGGAGCCGCCTCCAACCCTCCCGAGCATCATAGCACCCGGGCCCGGCCACTATCATGCTCCCCACGACTCGATGCGTTTCGGCAGGAGTCCGGCCATTTCCATACCTGGCCCCGAGCCTAAAGTCAACGCGCCCCCGCCCCTGCCCCCTCCACGAAACTTACCCGTTGGCGATGCTCCGCAGCCGCCGCCAAACTCCAAGGACCACCGCCTGCGTACACACGCCTCTTCCCTTGCCAGCGGCTACGGCAGCATGGGCTCCTCGTACGCAGACGACCGACCCCACTTCAAGAGGAGGGACACCGCAAACGGCGGCGACGAGGGCTACGCCAGCTATGCTTCCACCGAGAGGTACGCCTTGCCCTTTCCCCCGAGGACCAATTCGTCTCCCCATGCTGACGTCGAGCCCAACAGATCTCGGGACTCGCTGCCCGCCGACATAGGCCTGCACCACACCAAATTTTACTTCCAGACTCCTGCCGACCTTCACGCCGACAGCATCAAGCGGAAACTCGACCCCATCCGCACCTTCGACAAGTCCCCGCCGCGCTCCCTGCTCACATCCTCCATCAGCGATGTCTCCCGAAGACACCCCGACCCATGCCTCCCGCCTGCCCTCAACGTGCCCGTCCAGCTTCCGATACACAGCCGCCCGATTCTTGAATCCCCCGGCCGAATGTCAGACGCCTCCATCTATTCCGCCGCATCGCCCCTGTCTGCAGCTCCCTTCCACCACCACAGCCCCGCGGATCATCGCCTGCACCCCGATGTGTTGGATCTGGACCGCTCGCCCAGGGGGCGGACCAGGCGAAACAACAGCGACGACGCAACCTCGACGCAAGGAAGCTACGAGTTTACGGGGGCCGAGGACATGGAGATTGACGAGTCATCCTCGATGCGGCGGCTTCGAATCGACGATGCATACGCAGCGGCGGGCCAGAAGCGAAGGGCCGCGAGCCCACCCGCCGAAGATCACCTGCTGCATTGCGTGACTGGCCAGAGCGATGCCCTTCGCCGAAGGGACGTGACAACTCGCGGTTCTCCGACCGCTCGGCTCGCCGCCGTTTCTCAAGCGTCGCCTGCTTCGTCCGTGGCGCAGGCGCCGGCGTCGCGCTCCAGCTCCTACATGTCCACCGTCTCAATGGCCCCCACCAGCATCACGCCAGCCAACTCGTACGGCCGCCGCTCGCCAGGCGGCGCCTCGCCAGGTGGCATCTCCCCGACCTCGTGCAACTCCCCCTACCCGACGCCGGCCTCTTTGACACACAGCCCTAGGGCCTCTATGTCAGGGAGGACCTCGACCCACGGCAGGGCGGCTACTGGCGCGAGCCCGAGGAAGTTGACGGATGCGCAGAAGCCGGGCAGCTCGAAGCTCCAAGGTTTCTTCATGTGCGAATGCTGCCCGAAAAAGCCCAAAAAATTTGAGAGTGCGGAAGAACTCCGGTGAGTGCCACACTGCGAGCCCCCTGTCTTGGGCTCACGTGTACGCCGGCCGGTGATTGGGCTGCCCCCTGCGCTCCCCTTGCCGCCGCCGCGACACACAAGGATTGAGTGCTGACCCCGTCATCCAGCGCCCACGAAGCTGAGAAGCAGTACGAGTGTTATTTCTGCGGCAACCGCTTCAAGAATAAGAACGAAGCCGAGCGCCACCAAAACTCGCTCCACGTCCGCCGCCACTCGTGGTCGTGCTCGGCGCTCTCGGGCTATGACCGCGCTTTCCACGACTCGGCGAACCGCCCCGGCGAGGCCGACACGTGCGGCTACTGCGGCGACGAGTTTTCCAGGTCCGGCCATGGTCCCGGGAACGGAGCTCTAGGCGGCAGCATCGTACCGAGGCACGCCACGGATCATGACTGGGACGAGCGGATCCGACATCTGCAAGACGTGCACAAGTTCAGAGAGTGCAACGCGGCCAAGAAGTTTTACAGGGCAGACCACTTCCGCCAGCACCTGAAGCACAGCCACGCCGGGACGAGCGGCAAGTGGACTAACATGCTGGAAAACGCATGCATGGTGGAGGAAGCTCCCTCGCCGAGATGAAGACTCGCGACTCAGAGCCGCGTGAGCCCCCGAGGAGGCGTTGGGAGTGACGAATCTGTCACGGGACAAGGCGTGCAAAGGGCTCGCTGCCCCTTGACACGCCTCTGCATGCTGTATTACTGGCAAGGCCCATGAAAGCTTCGGTGGTACAGCACCCCAGCCCACGGCAGTTCCTTTTTGTTTTTCCATTGTTATTTGTTTTTGTTGGGGTTCGCAACGGCACGGCGCAGATGCTTTGGACCTGTAGCAGGGCAGGTTGGGGCCCGATGGAACGATTTAACGACACTTTGATTCATTTACGGAGTTGCGGCATCATGGACGGGCGCACATGGAATCGCATGCGTCGCGTCACGGTGTTTTGTGTTTTTGTTCGCCTCTGGCTTCTGAGCTTCCCGCTGGTCCCGTCCCCTTCTGCCATTATCTATGCGTGGCAAAAATCTGCGGACGACATCGGCGGACGACATCGGATGCAGCAAAAATGGTTGGTGGAACAGATGATTCAGTGTGCGAGAGCATGGCTGGGGCATGGCGCGCCTCGGTCGACGGCCGCCTATGCATGGGAACGGCGGCATCCTATTCGGCATACCAGGTAGGGTGCGGTGGGCTGTGCAGACTCATGTCTCGCAGAAGCCGTCGCGGTACGAAGTATTCGTACAAGGAGCAGAGTGGCTTGACGCCAGCTGCCGCTTAAGGTGACGGAGCAAAGGCCCGCTGCGGGTGTTTTGGATGGCATCGTCGCGCACTCGGATGCCTGGATGGAGCTGCCTCTGGTAGAATCAGCCGACGCGAGGCGAGCAACGGACGGGCAGGACCTACAGGCCACGGCGCAGACTTTTTTTCGACGAGTGGAGCCCGAGAGCTGACGGGAAAGCCTCAAAGAGTCGAGCTCGCGCGCCAAGGGTTAAGAGCGAGGCGCCGTTGCGGAGGCGACAGAGCGGCAGCACGTCTAGCCTCACGGGGACGCAAAAGTCAGCCTCTCAACAAGTGCTTGGATTGTCAGCGCCCATCTGGCAGATGGGATGGACGAGGATCCAATTGGCCATGACGTCGAGATTGATTGGTTTTTCGGTCAAGCTTATTCACCCAACCCCCTTTGGAAGCAGTGCATGCACTGGTGGCGGAGCCGGCTGGAGGGCTGAAGCCGCCAACCCCTGCTCGAGGCATGGGCCTCTGCCATGCTTCGGTCGCGAAGCACGCCACCGCGGGGCCTGAAGGAGATGCAAAAGACGGATGATGGTGAGGCGGTCAGGCCACGCCGGCGCCCGTCGCCGTTGTGCTCCATGTCACACCAAGACTGCATTTATAGGAGTCGAGCATGGCTTCGCCACGTCAAGTGAGCCAGTGAGGCACGGGACTGGGTGACGACGGCTTACGCCAAAGAAGAAGGGCACTTATCAAGCTCAGTTAGAAAAGCAACATATCCAATAATTCCATCCATGCTTCTACAGTATATCAGAGAGGTGCCGGTGCATATGTCGGTCGCGATGATTGCCACAGGGCGACACCCCGAGTGGTCCACCCAATAAATGGATAGATTGAGGCGCTGTGCAGCCAGTCAGTAGCAGGTATGAGGCCATCTACATGCTCGAGTAACGACGGCCAAGTTCCGTCCTGTGACGAAGGCATTCATCGGCAGCTTGGCCTTGATTTTAGGAGGATATGCTCGTTGATACGTACCTCGCCGACCAAGTTATGCTTGGGTTTTATTTCCCTCGCTCAAGGGTTCTTGGTCTGTCTACTCCGTAGAAGACGCTAGGATATCCAATGACAAGTTGAGACGAAACGCCACGTGACGGGGGTTTACCTAGCAGAAGGAAAGATATGTCTGTGGCTGGAGCACCCTGATGTGGCGGTGCTCGGCCCGGGACTCCGACCGCCCGAGAATTGAGGCCTTTGACCAAATCAACCGACACAGCCAACACAGCTCCTTGCCGTCACACTACCTCGACGTCTACGTTATCGTGCCTCGGCGTCAAGTTCAGCAGGACGAGCAGTCGACTGGCTCGTCAGGGCGCCGAGAAGCGAGACGCGCGAAGCCACCGGCAAAACGCCCAACGAGAACTGCTCCTTGCCGTTACTTGCCTGCACACTGTGCCTTATCGTCAACGGGGATCCCTCCCCCCCGGTCCTTGTCGAGTCGGTCGCGCCCGACGCTGTGGACGACATCGCCGCCGCACCCTCGTCACGAGCAATTTCCCACCCCCCCCTTCCCGTTGCCACCGCTGCGCCGCGGGGGAGCCGCCGGAGCATCAGGCTTCGCCACCCAGAGAGGGAGAGAGAGCTCGTTGCGACTCGAGGGTGAAACATTGCTGACATGGCTCTGAGCCGGATTCAAGGGCACGACGGGCTTTACTTGGGCGGGTGAGTTTGGCATCTCTGTCTTTGCTTTGTGCGTCACTCATCCGCGCGCTGGGAGGGGGGGGGGAGAGACTTTTTACTTATTTTCCCTCTCTTTGTTGTTTCTCGTCCGCATAGGATATGGGCTCTTCGTCGATCAGACTCGTTGAGCGACTTGGGAATCACCCACGTTCTGTCCCTTGTCGACTTCAATCACTCCAATCTCAAGAACTTCAAGGATGAGCCGTGGACCGAGTACGGAAAGGCGTTTCGTCACCTCGTCATCGATGTTGACGACGTCGACGACACCGACTTGTTGGTGGAGATGCCGCGCGCGGTCCGCTTCATCGACGAGGCATTGCGAGGTGAGGCGGGCGCCGACGGAGCCAGCAGCCAGGACGAGGGCGGGGCAGCCCTACAGGGCCGCATGGACACGCTGCAGCTCCAAGACGCCGGCAATGAGAGAAAAGGGGGCGGTGGCGGAGCCGTCTTCGTGCATTGTGCCGCCGGCAAGTCTCGCTCTGTCGCCGTGACCGTGGCGTATCTGCTCTGGAGATACCCCGGCCGCTTCGACCCCAACCTCGTGCCCCCCGGCTCCTGCGACCTTTCGGCTCGCGACAGAGCCGCGTCTTCATCCGAGAAACGAGGGCGCAGGGAAACGGCGTCCGAGGCCGTCAGGGCCGCACTGGAGCTCATCCGGCGCACGCGGCCCATGGCCGAGCCCAACGACGGATTCATGGAGCAGCTGGCCCTCTGGTGGGAGATGGAGTGTCCGGAAGACGTGGAGGCGCATCCCGTCTACCAGCGGTGGGCGTACAAGCGCGAAGTCGAGGAGAACGTTGCCGTGGGCCAGGCCCCGAGCCGGTTGCGCTTCGAGGATGAGCAACAGCAAAGTCACGGCAACGACCATGACTCGACCCTCCCGGGCCCCTCCCTCGGCTTCAACCTCCGCTGCAAAAAGTGCCGCCGCACGCTCGCCACGGCGCCCTTTATCCAGACGCACTCGCCCGCCAAGCTGGCGGCGGCGGAGCAGCCGTGCCCGCACCACTTTGTCGAGCCGCTCAGCTGGATGCGCGGCGAGCTGGAGAAGGGCCAGCTCAGCGGACGACTGGCGTGCCCCAACGAGCGGTGCGCCGCCGGCGTCGGGCGCTACGACTGGAAGGGCATCCGCTGCGCGTGCGGCGCCTGGGTCACGCCAGGCCTGTCGCTGCAGCGGGCGAGGGTGGATGAGGAGGTAGTGGCGCCGGCGGCGATGGCGGGAGTTGACGGCAGGATGCGGATGGGGATTCGGATGCCGCCGGGGAGGGGCGGGAATCTGTGACGGGGGGGGGGCGAGCTGACGGGCGAGGGGGCACTCTGCGACGGCCCCGGCGTTGCGCGCACATGCAGTTCCCTGTGAGCGTGATGCGCCTGAGTGACGGCACGATCACCAGATACGGATAAAGTCCCAGGTTTCTGAGGCTGTGCGCTTTCCCACCTCCCTGCTCGGAAAGGCATATGAGGAACGCATTTCCTGTCCGGGCCCGCATTGCAGGGGGGCTGCTAGCGGTGGCAAGACTCGCCGCCTTTTTCCCCCGGGCCTACACGAAACCCAGCCAGACGCACAGCCCAACGCACGAAAGGGATCTTCCTTTCAGTTCATCGGGAGACAGGTTCGCCGCTTTGTCCGTCGAGGTGGCGGGCGGTACGCCCGTTCTCGGCGAGATGTTCGCAGACGGGGCAGCGACGGACATGTGGAGACGCTGGGGACGGGGACCGGAGCGGGAGAGAGGCCGTGGAGCACACGGCGCCCTTGTACGGGAGGATTTCCACAGCAGCGCCAAGGTCTCCAGGTCAACACTCCGAGGGATGACCCTCTTCAGTTGCTGCTCCTACGTTTCAGAAGCATCCCCTCTTCTTCACCCTTGCCTTCCGCGAGTACCTCACTGGCAAGAGAAAAAGAGAGCGGTTCGAACAACACCCGCCTTTCCGCACCTTCACCTTCTCGTCCGCGGCCGGCTTGTCCCCCGTAGTCAAAGACCAGGGAGGAGGTTGGCCTGCCTCGTGCTTGCTTGACCATTGGCCCCAGACGAGTATCAAGGAGCGCGTAGGTAAACAGGGCTGGATAGGAGAAAAGCCACGAACAAGATGTGTCTCCGGACTGAGTCCTAGACAATGATAGGAGTCTCGCAGTTCTGATTATCTTTGTCCCCCCTTAAGGGATCTGCTCTCCAAGAATCCTTGAGAATATGTGCCAGTTGCCCGAGGCCTTGCAAGTATCCAGCCCACGAGACTTGAGCGCTGCATTCCCATCTCCGTCCCCCCTGACGTGAGCCTTGAGCACCCCTTCCTCGTCCCCCACGCCCGTCATCGCAGGCTCGGACAACAGCCCTCCGGCACCCCCCGGCGATGATCCGGAAGCCCTCCTCCCCATTCCAGCTTATTACTTAGGTGATCTCCCCCCGTCAGCAGAAGCGTCTCCGCGGCCCCCCCCCTCCCCTCCTCTCACACGGCTTAAATCTCACTGCATATGCAATGGAAGGGCGTCCGGGCCTCTGTGGCCCCCCTCCCCTTCAGCCCCTCCTGCTCGTCGGTGAAGAGAGGGCACCTCTGCCGGCTTCCTCATCTCCTGGGAGACATGTTCGTCATCGACAAGCACGGCAGACTCCTCCTCGTGGTCGGGCAGGTCGTACCCAGCTGCTCCCAGGGGCCTTAATGGGCTTTTCCGGCGCGCCGTCTTGGCGAGAGCGAAAATCCTCGGAAGAAGCAGTATTTCGCTTGCTTCAGCAGAACGGGGCCGATCTGAAGACCATGCCCCCGTTTCTGCCGGCGGCTGCCTCAAGCGGATTTGCTCCGGCGTCCTGTCTCGCGCGCGTCATCAGGATGGCCTGGCATATTCATCCTCCGCAAACGACGCAAAGAGATGCAGTGCCGTTGCATCTCCCCAACACCCTTTTCTTTCCATGATAGGGGGGGCCTCGCTCTACGAAAGCGTGGCAGGTTCGGACTGGAACGCAGCTCCTCACGCGCCCTCGGCCCCCAAACATCAGCATCGTGCGCGGGGGACAGCCGGCAAATGTGCACATCTCGGACGCTGGTGAGGATCATGACGGTCATATGCCATGACCTCGCCGGAGAATGGAACCGGTCGTCCCCGCTGGGGAATCACCATGGGGTAAGGACGAGAGACAGCGGCCTAGAGCGCAGATAGTACCTGCAGTCTGACCTTTGGGGTTAAAGCACACGCCCCCTCGTTGCAGATTGCTCCGGCATCATGGCTTCCGCCGCAGACTGGGGTACACGAGCGGCCGGCTCTGGCTTCCAATGAGCGGGCATTCATGCTATGCATACCACGGAAGGCACTGGCATACTAGTGTATTTTTCGCGTCGCCGGCTATTGCCGTCCGGTTGAACAACTCAGGGACTTTTCCGCCCGGGCCGAAGCAACTTACTGGCGGGCAGCCAGGGTTAAGGCCAAAATCTTTCCCGTCGGCTTTATGCAATGGTCTCCCTGTCGGCCGTGGGGGTTTTTGGCCAGAGCTGAGGAACGCTGCGTCTGAATTGGCATCCCTTCCTCAGGACTCAACAGTCGAGCCAAGGGCATCTGACCCAACACTCGCGGCCGCTCGCAGCTGATTTACGCCTTCAAAGTGCTGGGCAGCCATGGCAGACCGTTCTTAGATTTTCAACAGGCCGGCCACTCGAATCTGGCAATATTGTCATCACGGCGGCTGACGAGTGGCGGTCATCTACTCGGTCAGGATGAGCGCGAGAGGATGACGGTTGGGCCTGAAGACATGAACAACCATAACCATGGTTCGTGGCATGCGTGGTGGCGCTGGAACCTGTATCAGTTGATCCTAGCAGAGGCTGAATGCAGGCTTGCCTTCGTACGACGCTGCATAGCTCAGGGCTGCTTATCATGGTTACGCCCACGGCTCTGGCCGGAATAAAGGATCCTTGCCTTAGTATGTGAGAGGATCCAAGGCTGCGTTGGAATCAAAAATGCCTGGTTGCTCTTTGGATGGACGCCGGCAAGACCCCAAGGCTCGTGCTCACCGACCGTTCATGTTCAGTAACTTATTCCTCATTGATGCCAGGGGCGTGAGGATAGAGACAGAGGCGCAGCTCGCGGTAGACAGCTGCCCCTGCGATGCTGGACTTGGCACTTCGAGAGGCGCGCCCCATGTTTCCTTCTTGAGAACATGAAACCGTCACGGGTGTCCAACAAGATGCTTGGAGCAAGTGATATTGACGATGTCTTGCCAGGAAAAGATGCGTATAGTCTGAGGCCCTTCACTCTGGTGTTTTGGAAGTAGATGATAGTCAAAATTGCTTTGAATGCTTATATGTGCAAGCCACACATGTCGACGACGACGATGGTCAACGACCCCCGAGGTTCTATTCAACCGCTTTGAAGGTGTATATGTGTAAGCCACACACCTCGGGGGAACGCACTGTTTTGTAAAAGTTTGATGTTCGCCGTCTCTGGGCCGGGCGTTCCGGTTTGAGCCCCCTTTTTGTGTTCTCAGGCAGCAGGAGCAACGCGTCTGGAGCGAGCAAAACGCTAGCTCACCGGCAGTGCGCCGAGCTGCGGGCGCTTTCAAGCAGACTTGACGAGCGCCGAGGAGGCGAGTCTGCAGCCTCAATGCCTCATCAGCAACAAGAGTCTTGAGGGGCTGCGCGGCCGGAATAGTGGCCAGCTAAATAGGGTGCAGCTTGGCCCACCTCTGGCCTTGACCAGATTCAACTTTGCAGGTAGCATACCTTCTGCCGCGGTGACCGAATTTCGGTTTCAGGTCCTATCTGCCTCTGGGGGAAGGAGGAACAGTCCGGATTTTCCATCATCCCTGCTGGTTCATGTTCATTTGCGAGGCAAGTCGGTGGGGACCGAGGGAAAGTAATTGGGCTGCGACGCTCGCTCGCGATCTCTCTTTGCAACCTCGGATTGGCGTTTTCTTTGTATGCGTTGCTTGTAGAATGCGCTGATGGAGGTTAGCTGTGTCTCCCTCCGAGGTTGGGGTTGTCGATTCAAACCTCTTGAGCTCAAAGACTCGCGGCTCTTCCCCCTGAGGAGTCACTACGGCCTCATCATTGTCCAGCGTGAGTTCATCGTGGGGGTTTGTTAGGGTATGCAGGGCGTACCTGTTCCTCGTCTTTGCTCTTGCTATCGTCTTCCTTTTTATCATTTCCATCTTCCTTGTCCTTCCCCTTGTCCTTGCCGTCTTCTTTGGACTCCTTGTCCTTATCTTTGGACTCCTTTTCTTTCTTTTTGCGATGCCGCTCCTCGTACTCCTTCTTCAGCTTCTCCGTCTCCTCTGCGAGCTCTTTTTCCCTCTTGGCTTTGGCGGCATCCTCGTCGATCTTTGGAGTGCAAAAGTAAACGTCTTTCAAGTGAATGGGGCAGACGTAGAAGAAGTCCTGGAGAGAGTGTTAGCAGCCTACGTCTACTTGGAGTCCTGTCTGTCTCTCTGTTACCTTCTTGTCGGGCGTGATGAGCACCGAGGTGCTGAGCTTATAGCAAATGTCGCACGACTTGGCCGACGCTTCGGCGACCTTGCGATGGGTGTACAGATTCGGGAAAGGCGCTGCCATTCTGGAGCCTGGGGCGAGCTTGAATTCGATGCTCGTACGGGAGATAAATGCAGTGGTAAGAGCAAGGCCAAGTTGGAACGACGCCAGCCCAGCCAGTGCTTTAAGTTCGCCGATGACTAAGCGCATCGTCACGTCGCTTAGACGCCTTGTCGCGTCTCTTCCGAACCGCACTCCGTACGCAAAGCAAGCATGGACCAGATTGTCCAAGCCTCCCCATAGAAAACTCTACGAGCTTATCCATCCGGCACCCTAGGCTTTGAGGCTTTCCCAGCAAGAACCATGGCCGCGGCTGCACTCGATTCGCAGAGACTCGGCGCCGTATTCCAGTCTCGTCCTGATATCATCGAGGGCATCAAAAAGGCAGCGGGTCAGTCGGCACGGACGGGCAATGGACCATCGAGACGCTAGGCTGACTCTCTTGCCAGATTCTCCAGCGAGGATTGCCCTTTTCAACCAGATCACGACCCACGTCTACAGTCAGCTTCACGATGGCAGCGACGAACCGGCGCAGAAGAGACGGAGAGTCGACGTGGCACACTCCAATGGAGTGGCAAACTCCCCTGTTCCCGGCAACGCAGCCGACGAAGCAGTTCTGCTAGAGGTCAAAGAGATCTCTGTATCAGCCCCACAGAGGAAAAAGCTTGAGCTCTGCTTCACCTCCAACTTCTTATATGCCAGGGCCCCTGGGACCGTGGCGCCGATACCTGGGATAACCTATGCTTGGAGAGACATTGGTTCGTGGCCTTTCGGCTTTCGCTCCGCTGCAAGGCCCGACGTATGCTAACTTGGGTCAGAATACGCCTTTTACTTGCCTGTCCCCGAAAAGGCACAGGTGCAGCACAACTATGTGCTCTTCCCCCGAGGCGCAACTCTTCCTCAAAAGACCAGCCAGCCTGCAGCCGAGCCGTTGGTTTTTACGGTCCCCGCATCGGCACCCAAAGAAGGGACCATTGGTGGCAGTGAGACAGGCTCAGCGGCTGCCGTGTCGGACACCTACAAGTCTCTGCTTCATTGGGCATTTGGCAAGCACTTCAAGGCCGCCGGCAGTGCTATCGAGATTGTCTCCGCTGATTCCAGTAAGTTCCACAGCGTGATCAAGCAAGCTCACCGGCCCAACGAGAAGGCCGTGCACGTCAACGGGTTCAGGGGCTCCAAGGATGGTTACTTGTTCTTTCTCAGAAATGGGATCCTCTGGGGTTTCAAGAAGCCCTTGATCTTCATCCCTCTCGATCGTATTGCAGCCATCAGCTACACCAACATTCTGCAAATCACCTTCAACATAGTCGTCGAGGTGTTTTTGAGCGAGGGCGAAGGCACGGAAGAAATCGAGTTCGGCATGCTGGATCAGAAAGACTACGGCGGGATAGACGACTACATCAAACTGAACCGCCTGCAGGATCGAAGCATGGCAGAACAGCGGAAAGGCAAGCTCCAGCTGGCTGAGAACAGAGGTCCTAAGGGCGCCGAGGACGGCCAGGATGGCAGTGCCGGGGATGCCGATGCGAACGGGATGACAGAGCTCGAGCGCGCTCAGCTTGAGGTCGAGCAGCACTTGCAAGACGACGAGGATGAGGATGAGGAGGACTACGACCCCGGAAGCGAAGGCGAGAGCGGGGGGTCCGGCGACTCGAGCGAGGACGACGACGACGACGAGGCCGAAGGCGAGGACGAGGAAGAGGGGGATTCGGATGCGGAGGGAGAGGTGGATGGAGAAGAAGAGGAAGAAGAGGAACAGCCACAAGTGAAGAAGGAGGCGAAGGGTGGGAAGACGCGGGTGAAAAAGGAGGAGGTGCAGGCGCCGGTGAAGACAGAGGCTGCTGGGCGAGGGTGGGCAGCCATCAGCAACACGCGACATGCCAATGACATGGACATGGATGAAAAGTTTGACGTTGTGGGATGAGGGACTTGTTATTGTTGCACGACACCAGATACAGGAATCGACAGGAATCGACAGGGGGGCGTTAATCCGGGTCACCGAACTACACGACATACACGATGGGCTGCGAGCGGCCTACTGCCAACGGCCGCCTATGATTTTCTTCTTGGTTGGACGCCTGGTTCATGGGTGCCTGGTATGAAGACGGGATATTGGGGCATGGAGGACGAATTCCGGGTGTGTTTCCGGCTTGAGAGCCAAGTGGCCCGCCAGCTGTTGTTTTCCTTTCGGTCTACTCGTACAAAAGAGATGACATTCGCTCTTCCTATATAGAAGATATACATATTTTACCACTTACTGCATGTGCAATGTATGCGAATGGGCTTGGACACTCTGAAAGCAGGGGAAGCGGAGACGGTCGTGTGTTCTTGGCTTGAGCAATAGCAAGAACCAAAGAAAGACAGGATCATCTCCTACTCACCCCATCTGATCCTCTTTTTTCTTTCACTCCTTCATCTCCCCATCCTCCTGCTCCGTCCAAGACGAAAGGATTTGGAGTATCACGGAGTCGGTCTCACGAGACAAAGTGTAGGCCTGGTGGTCCACTCCCCCAGACGCCACGTGACCCCACTCAACATGAAGAAAGCGCGAGGCACGTGACGTCGCGAAACCTCGCATCTTAGTTCGCCATCTCGACATCGCAAGAGCTTAAAGCGAAGGCAGCTCGCAAGAAATTCGCCCTTGCTCAATCCCGCCTGCCCGCCCTGCCGCACTCACCATGGTCGGGTCACACAAGCCCCTCCGGCTCCCACCGCTCCAGACGCTGCGCGTCCACAACCCCAAGCGCCAGCCCGAGAACCCGTGCATCGCCATCATGTCGAGCGTCCTCGGTGCGTTGCCCCCTTCCCCCCCCACACGCTCTGCACGATTCCAATCGACTCTGCGTACAGAAAGCATTAACGAGGTGACTAGCCTGCTGGGCCTCTGCCGGCTTCAACGCCACCGGATGCGCCGCCGTCGAGAACCAGCTGCGCAGGTGCATGGACGGTCCGCCGCCGCCCCCCGCGCCCACGAATACAATCAACTACCATCTCTCCCGTATGAAGCAGCACGTCACCAGCCCGCGGAAACACAAGTGAAGATGCTCGAGTTGACCGTTGAGGCGGGACTGGGGCGATCGGTTCTCCGCATCAGAAGAGAGAGCATTGCCACGAGTTTTGGGGGCGGGGGGGGAGGCCAAGCCAACGAGAGCGAGAGCGGGAACGAGCCAGTGAAAATAGTACGGCTGGTTGGGAGGGACTGCATTCCAGGCGTTAGTTTAGGGGCGTATATATCTCGTACAACACGATGGCAAGGAAAGCCGGTGGGGGTCGGAGAGGCCTCATTATGCGATGCAGGTCGAGCAACGCTTGTACGATATACACCTTCACACTTTTCAAGCAAAAGCAATCCATTTCCCTACAAGACCTCCTCGGGGGCAGAATGGAAAGCTCCAAGTCGTCGAATCCGGTATTGCGCACCACCACTTCCCATTCTCGCACCCGACTAATTAGAGCTCGTCACCAAGGCATGCACGCTGGTCAAGAGTCTTTCCATTGCTCTTTACTAGGCCCTAACGGCTTCGCGCTCATTGAACCTCGCCCACGTTTGCACCGCCCCCTTCTATCTATGCAGCTTGGGCTCCCCCAGCAGCCCAAGTCAATTCCCTTCCACGGGCGTCTGATATAAATTCGAGCCAGGAGAAAGAATGTTTGTCGTTGCCTTGCGCAGATATCGAATGTCTGTTCATTCCACTTTTCCAACTTCTACCCCAACAATAGCGCCGTTGTATCCCACCGACTTGCTCGACACAGCGGCGCAATAATGATTCGCTTCCGCTGCAGCTTCGTCTGCTGCCAAATCTCGACGCGTATGAGGCTCGAGTGGTGCTGTGTCAGTCGGTGGGTTAAAAAAAAGGGGGCCGAACAAAACAAGTATGTAAGTTCAAGTAAGTGAGTGGCTCCAATTGGCGTGGGCATGGACAATCCCAGAGTAGACAAGGGGAGGGGAATATTTCTGGCAAGTCGTTCAAAGAGTACAGCTCGCTTCGGCAGGTCGTGTCTATATGGCAGGTCTGCAAAACAAAGAAGGCTTCCCCCCGCCCGTATCCTCGAGTGTTGTCGTCCCCGAAAACTAGTAATGTGATGGTTCCGTACGCCGGGTATGCGAATGCTCCATGGTATCCTGAGTGTGCGTGCCTCTCGTCTCTCCGCCTCGGTGCCAGGCGGACACTCCGGTCACCCTCTCCGCCTCGGCCGTGGTGACGGCAGCCAACAAGGGCTGATGGCGGAGCTGAGCAGATATTATGTGGTTTCACCGACGCAGAAGAGCTCTATCTCTCCCACGCCTCCCGAGTACATGTTTCGCACCCCGTCGCGCCACTCCATAAAGGCAATCTGGATATCATCATCGCTCTCAATCGTGACAAAATCGCCATCCTCGTCTCGGTACCGCAGTTTCAGCACGCCCTTGCCGATGCTGCTGCTCATAAACCGCGCGAGCTTGGCGTCGATTCGATCAATGAGCGATTGATAGGTAATGTTGAAGGCGACCACGAGCGTCACGTAGTTGCCGTTGTCGCAGTTGACGCGAACCTTGAGTTGCGTGGGCAGGGGCATCTCCGAGTTTGCGCCGGGCTGCGGCGTGATGGAGCCGGTCCCCAGCGCCGGGGACACGGTCCGCGAGTTGGCAGCCGTCGAGTCCACGCGAAGTCCGTTTCCTCCGGGAGGTCCAGGGGTGTTCTGTCGCGGATAGGCCGGCTGCGCAGGAAAGTGCGACATGGTTCCGCCCAGACTGCCAGAGTGTTTGTGCAGCCGACCGTGTTGGCCACTGGGGCTCTGGGCGCTGGTTCGGATCGGCATGTCGCCGCGCGGAGAGCCAGTCTGCGATCTCGGGATGTTGTGGTCGTGCGCCGGATGGAGGTGCTGCGGAATGCCGGGCACAGCCGGTATGTGGCTCTGGCTGGGCTGCCGTTGTCGCGGCATACCCGTCGCGTTGACGTCGGGAGTGCTGTAGGATCGACTTCGCTGCTGCTGGGCAGCGCTCTGGCTTTGCGTGGCCATTGCGGGAAGCGACGGGCCGCGGGGGTTTCTGGCGTTCGAGTGTGGATTGGGCGACGAGCCGTCTCGGGACGGTGCGCGCGGCATGGCTGGCGCCGTGTAGCGGTTGCTGTCGTCCCATGCCTGCTGCGGCATGCCTGACTTGGAGAACGAGTACGGAGGGCCGGGGAACATGCCGCTGGCGGCGCTCGTCCGCGACGACGCTGGAGACTCGGCCACGGGGGAGAAGTAGCTGTCGCCGCCGCGGGTGCTGGGCGACAGCGCACCGTTGCCCTGCGTCTGGAGGCTCAGCGCCGGGGGAGGCGCAGGAATCGGGAAGCGTGGCGGCGGCGCCCTCGCAATGCCGGCCAGAGACTGCGTGCTCTCGCCCGTCGCGGACCGTTGCCTCAGGTTCGAGCTCGAGGGTCGACGAGGCATGGGTTGTGCAGACATTGTCGAGTATTGCACCGGGGCGGACATGATGCCAAAGTCCTCGTCCTCGTCATCGTCCTGATGCAGATAGGGGTTTTCGAGCCCGCTCGCATGGTCTCGGGTCCAGGAAAAGTCGGTGCCGTCCTGGCTGATTGAGTGCCGTGGAGCATTGTCCTTGCGTTGCGCCTCGAGCCGAACCGCCCATTTCTTCATGGTCTCCTCGTTAAGGAACTTGATCGTAAAGTTCTCGACGCCGGGGTCACCCTTCCACCAAATCTGAACGCTGTAGGAACCTACTCGGACAACCGTCAGAGGCAGCTCGTGCGCGGGGTTCCTCGAGGGGCCGAACCAAACTCACCAGGCTTGGAAAGAGACACAATGTCAGTCACATTAGTCATGAATATCCTGCCCTTGAGCTGGAGCTTTGCGTTCTTGTTTCGGAGTTTTGGGCCCGAGGACCGTGTCTTGTCCTTCTTGTCCTTGCTCCTGGACGCAGAGGCCTCCTTGCAACACAGCAAGATGCATTCGAACAGGTATATCTCGTACTGCATCTTTGGTCAGCGTCACAATGCCGCAAATGCCTCTCGTCCGGCAGCTGGGGCCAACATACGTCTTTCTCCTGTTCACTCTTGCCTGTGATGACTCCGTATACGCCGTGCAAGAGCAGCTTCCCAAACGACTCCACTCTATGGGACTTCCAGTCGTCTACTCGCGTGATCAATTCCTCCAACGCTTCATCCAGCAGGTCTCGGTTCACCGCTTCGTTGGCTTTGTGCAGGACCCGCTCCGCGGCCTCGCAACCCGACATGAGATCCTCCTTGGTCTCGGGGTCCTCAGTCTTCTTGTGTAGATCCTGGGGTAGAGTCAGCCATCTCGACCCCCCCAACTTTGACGGACTCTCCGATGTCTACCTTGAGGAGAAGCGGATACTTGACCAGCCGCTGCATTGGCTTGAGCAGGAATCCATCGAGGGTGTTGAAGTCGGCGGCGACCGGGTGATCTGAGAGCTGGATTTTGTCGAATACTTGATTCGCGATTTGCGCCGCCTTTCTCTGATTCGCAATAAAGGGCTGGTAAATGTCGAAGGCGTCCTCGTAGAAGCAAAAGGGCGCCCCCCAGCGCTGAACGGCCTTGGGCATCGAATTTGCCGTCTCGACTCGGATGAGGAATCGACGCTGAAAGTCGAGGATGGCATTAATGTTGAGGAATATTTGGTGGACGATGTCGCCAGGTACCGCGCCCTTTTGCTCCAGGGCCTTCTTCAAGTCATGGAGGTTCTCCAAGTCTTGGACATACTTGCGCTCCGTGTCGACGAGTTCCTTGACGATGTGGTCTCTGTAGCTCATCTGGGAGCCGGCGGCGGCGCTCACGGTCTCGTCTTCGGGGAATAGTTGGCTCTGCATCAAGAGACCACGTCTTTCGGCGAGGTCGAGAACGTAGTTGACAACTTGTGTCACCTGCGAATGGCCCGTCAGTCGTCTTGCTTCGGATAAAGTAGGAGCGCTGGGCAGTACTATGGTTCAAGGGCGGAACTTACCTTGACGAAGCCGCTCGTGTCATTTCCCATCAGGTCCGTGATGACAAAGCTCTCCGCCGGAGGGACGCGGAGCTCCTTCATGCACGCCTGGACAAAGCGAAAGATAGCAATCTTGGACTTCTTGGCTTCCGAAGCGTTGGGGTCATCGACTTTGAGGGGTTCGGCGGGTTGCAGCGAGTTGTATATTGCCAACAGGGGATAGCCTGTGCGGAAGAGGTTCCAAAGCGGATCGACGGGGTCGGTCGGGTCGAGTTGGTCGAGGAAGGGCTCGAAGCCGGGCACCTGGGCGAGGCGCTGCTTGAGTGAGACGCATATTTGGTACAATGAGCGTGAGGCATCCGCCTTTTGGTTGATGATGTTGGAGGTGGCGACGATGGGGCCGCCATTCTGACCAGGGACGATTGTTCCGCCGCTGGTCAGGGAATTTAGCGACGACGACGACGAGCCAGCGTAGGCTGTGGAGCCCGACAGCTGGCTGGTGCGCGGCGCATTGCTCATGCTGTTCTGTTGTAGACCTCCGGCGCGGCTCAGATTGGACTGGAAGACCGGGGCGGTGTTGTTTCTGAGTAACGGGGCATGGGCCATGTCCTGTTACTCCATGCGCCAGGGGAGGGGGGCTGGTTATAACGAGAGCCCCGGAAAGCACACACGACGGGGGACAAAGAGTCGTCGAGGGAAGGGAAGTGGCTGGCGACGAGGCCCGAGGGGGCGGCGTGCGATGCGGAGGGGTGAGGGGGCGCTCGGGCCAATGGATTTTCTTTCGACTGTTGGCGTGATGAGTCTTTTGTCGGAGGTCCCTTTATTCGGCGAGGGAGGTCTTGGACAGGCAGCCGTCGCGTCGTCCAACGGTGACAGCGAAGAGGGCTGCTGCGCTCTCTATTGAGTGGACAAGGCAGGGTATCGCGGTCGTGATTCGGGACGGGTCTGCGTCCTTGTCTCGGGTCTCGCGCCGGCGTGATGGGTTCTGTTTGGCAGAAGCCTTGTGACAGGAATAATAGGAAATCGAAGGTGAGGAGTGGCGGCGCGGGTTCGGGATCGATGTGGCTTTTCGCCACTGTCGTCGTTGTCGCGCTTCGGGGGAGCGACGTCAATCGAGGCGGGCGAGGCTGCAGGATACGGCCGCAGGCTGTTTGCTGGACAGCTCAGGGCGAGGCTGGTCGGGTGGGAGCGTCAAACACGAGGGCCGGCAGTCGGTTTGGTAGTGCACGACGGGCAAGGCAGGCTATCCGGACCGTGGGCAAACAACGGCGACTGTCGAGGCGGAGGCAGCGGCGGCGGATGAGGGATGAGGGGCAGGGGAGGACGAGGAGGAGAAGGGTAGAGGTGAGGCGAAGAGAGGGGAGAGGGGGGGAAAGGCGATGCGGGTCTTTGTTGCCGGATTCCGGTCGGGATGCGAGCACTTGACAGAGACGAGAAAAGGATGTCGAAGAGGCCCTGCGGAGAAAGGGGAAGAGAGGAGAGGGCGTGACGAAGAAGCAAAGACCAGTTAGCACGATGGAGGAGAATGGACGGCCAGACGAGGGCGAGGTACCAACCGCCGCCTGGCTCTGCGGGCGAGGGACCTGCCCGGGGTACCTGACCAAGCGCAACTCGCCTGCAGCGCACCTCCTGGCTCTAGCCCCGGCAGTGACTTGGGCGCTGGCGACACAGGGTCGGCCTGACGAGGGAGACCAGGATGAAGCATTCGTACCCCGAGGTACCCCATGTTACTGTCAACAACTCGGTGCATGTCTCGTGAGATAACTCGGGGACCTCACCCTTGCGGGAGAATGCAGGCAAGCGCGAAGTCACCACCCCTGCAGGCCCCTAAGCCACGCTACTTTGGCAGATTCAGTGACCACCCCCCTGCTGGGTCTCGGTGGAGGTGGCCGAGTTCCAGGCCGCTTTACCAGCACATGCAAGGTACCTACCTCGGCGACTGTGGCCTGTGTTTCATGCTGGGTCATGGAAGACGCTAGGGCGGTGACCTTATGCCACAGACAAGTCTAAGCTCTCGTCGCAGAAACGGACGGATCGGTCGATTTCTCGAGATGGATGCTGCATGCCATGGCCAGCGTTTGAGCCCTTGGCACCAAGATGCTATGAGGCTTGCCAACCCCGGCGCTGCAACGGGAAGTTGGGAAAAGAAGGGGCAAGGAAAGCGGCCTCTCCCTCGTCCGCCGTGTGCACAAGTACAGTGCCTTTGTTAGGGGGCCGAGACGGGAGGGGCCAGGGGCAGAGCCAAACGAGCCTCGTCGCCGAATCGCGCAACGGTTCGAGGTACAGTACAGGGCTGCTTGGTGACGTTGACGAGCAGCAAGCAGCCAGAAACCACAACCATACCTGCGGCCAACAAGAGGATTTTGTCGAGCGCAGACGGGCGCCTAGCCCTCGATGGTGAGCCGTTTCATGGAGAGCAATTTGGCTAGTGGCTAGCGGTACGCCTTGTTTGTCCTCATGTTTGCACGTCTCGCCAAGGACCGGATGCCCCCCTCCCAACAGAGGAAAGTTGGAAAACGGCGGCAATAAGCCTATCGAGACGGGGGAATAACTAACCATGATCTACTTATCTATCCGTGTTTGTTCCATGGCGGCGGCATAGACCTGTTGCGGTAGTGCCTCAGGTCGAACCCTCCTGACTTGGTACTTTTACCTAGGTAGGTAGGTGGGCAGGTAGGTAGGTAGGTAGGTAAGTAGGTAGGTACAGTGCCTTCATGGCATGCATCGTCATGGACGAGCTGACGCAAGCGGGAGCTGAGGGCAAATGAGGGCAAATGAGGGCAAAGGTGTTCTGGAAACGCGAGCCAAGGGAGGTAGGGTAGCATTCAACTGCTGGCGGCATCCGCAGCCGCACGGGGTCAGCGAGTGCCGACCTCGAGTCGGCTTGTGGGGGATCCATTTAGACAAAGCCGAGGCGACGAGATGCAATTCACTGCCGCTCCACCCTCTTCTTGGCGAGACGACAAGCAGGTGCCAGATGCCCCTCAGGCCAAGGCCGCTTTGGCCACGAGCGTGCGCGCCGTGTGCTGTCAGGGCAGATCTGGTAGGGCGCAAGACAAACCAAAAAAAGTATGTCGTTTGTCGCCAGCCTTGCACAATGTTGGTGTTCGGCCCGTGTGTGCTGTGGTGTTGTGTTGGAGAGAGGGAGGGCGTCAACGGTTTCGAGCATGACGAGCATGACGAGCCATTGCCCGGATGGGACGTTGCACTGTCCATGTCATGACAGGAAGACCGACTCGTACGCACGGAGCGCTGCATGCTTGTTCTACGACATGGCAAAGCTCGCATCTAATCGATAGCCGCTAAGCGAGACTGATGGTCACGGAATATCAAGAGGGCAGTGTCAAGTTTCTGACGACATTTCACCTGTTTGATTGGCCGTGAGAATCATCAACCGAGGTTCGAATACTTCAAGGACATTTCAAAGTTGCCAATAGTCGCCCGCCAGCCGCACGGAACCGGCCGTGCTCACTTCAAGAGTGGCTGCTGATCAAAATGCCCCCTTTTCATCACCTCAAGATCAAGACTTCCACGCTGACGCCCGGCTACGAGAGCCAGCGGGTCTGTCTGTGTGCTGCTGACATGAAATGTATTGTGTTTCGAGCGTACCATCCATCTGCCTTGGCGTCCAAGGGTTCTTTTGGGCAGTTTTTATAGGCACGAGCAAAAATGCAACAGGGCAAACAAGATCACTCACCAAGAGGCATGTCCTCCAATCCTCTCCTCAAGCCTGCATGCCTGAGAAATCTCGATGATATAGGGTAGGTCGACGTTAAAGTGCAAAACTTGCGGAATCCTGGTACCGCGCTCTCGCACCGCTGTGAATCAGATAGTACCGGCCGGGGCCCTCGCGTGGCCGCCTAAAATCTCCGTGGGATCCTTGTGGCATGTACTTTAGGCAGTATCCGTGCCCACTGGGACCCGCGCGTCCCCTCTGCCTCCCGTCAGCCCGATGCAACTCCACACGTGCATCACCGCCACCTCAGCACCGCCTAATAATTATTCACACACAACTCCGACTTGCTATTCCTTGCCACAACTGCTGCGACCAACAGACGATTGCTCCCTTCCTTGCGCCGTGAATAACATCCTCTGCTCGACTTCCCTCCGCTTCCACAGGCGACGCTGACTGTCCGTCGCGGCGGACAGGCCTCGCGCCAACCGCTCGACCCGCTTCTCTCATCGTCGACAGAGCTCCTTGCTCGCCAGCAGGCCTGGTCGGCCTCTCATCATCTCCCGGAGCCGCACATACGCCACCCACGTCTCTTCCGCCCCCCCCCCACCGAAATACCGAACTGACCACCTCACTTGTGCGCCGCAGTCTTCGCGACTGCTGGAATCCTCCGGCTCGCGCATGTCCAAGGACGACCCGCTCTCGCCGACGACAATGGATCCCTTCTCCCCCGTTCACCAGACCGACGAGGGCTACTCGGAAGACCCTCTGAACCCGACTCTGCCCCAAAACTTGCCGGCTCCAAGGTCTCTCGCAGATCTGCCATCATGGCTAGCCAGCCATGTCTCGGCTCTTCCGCTGCCCGTCAGGACCGGTCAGTGGCTTTCCGCTCAACTTCTCAATCCCCAACTCGCGCAAGTACTGACTTGGCCGCTCCTCAGAGTTGACCATGGGCTTGCTTGACCAGCTCCCAACCTCTGCCATCGCCGAGATCGTGCAGCGCCTGAACCCGAGGCTCTACATCGACTTTATCCAATACCTCCCGGCCGAAATATGCCTAAAGATCCTCGGTTACGTCGACCCCAGCTCTCTCGTCAGCGTCATGAAGACGTGCCGTGCGTGGCACAGCCTGGCTCTGGATAGGAAACTCTGGGAAAGACTCTTCTACCTGGAGGGGTGGAAAGCTGTACCGTCCGAGATCGATATCTGGGAAGCAAAGGTCAATGTCGGGCTGAATGGCTCAGTAGGTCACATGCATCGTGTGCATGGCGCCGAGGGCCACGCAAGCAAGGTCCGGGCTGTCGCCAACGCCGACGAGGACCTGGAAATGACCGACAACGACCGTATTCTCCCGTCCGCCAACGAGGGCTCCGGTGTGGGTTCCAGCATCTTTGGGTCTCCCAACTCTGGCTTCTCGCCCAACCGCTACGCCCTCGCCGCGGCGGCAGATGTCGAAATGTCTAACAGCGGGGCCTCGAGAAAGGGAAAGGGCGTGGATCGAGGCTTTGCATCGCTGGATCACGTGGTGCGTGCCAAGCGCAAGGAGCCCGGTGGCTCGCCGGAGCCCTCTCCGCCCCTGATGCTGCCGCCCGGCGACAACTCGGGCTCGCCGTTGCGGTCGACCTTGTGGGCTTGGGACGGGAGCAACTTGCGCTTTCGCATCAACTGGAAATATCTCTACAACATGAGGCGGCGCCTCGAGTCCAACTGGGAGCTGGGGAAATGCACCACTTTTCAACTGCCACACCCCGTTTACCCGGAAGAGGGCCACCAAGAATGCGTCTACACGCTGCAGTTTGACGCCGACTATCTTGTAAGTGGTAGCCGCGATCAGACGATGCGCATATGGAACATGCACACGCGCCGCTTAGTTCGCCCTCCCCTCGTTGGCCACCATGGCTCGGTGCTGTGTCTGCAGTTTGACGCGAGTCCCGTCGAGGACATTCTGGTGTCCGGTAGCAGCGACTCCAACGTCTTCATCTGGAAGTTTTCCACCGGTGAGCTCGTCCAACGCATCACTGATGCCCACCGGGAGTCGGTCCTTAACGTAAGGTTCGACAAGCGGATCCTCGTCACCTCGTCCAAGGATAAGACCATCAAGATCTTCAACCGCCGACCGCTGCGGTACGGGGACTTGGGCTACGGAACCCCCGACGTGGCCGTCGACCGGGTCGGCACAAGCGTGAAGCGTTACGGGTTTGAGCCCGACCTTGCCCAAGAGCTGCCGGTCAAGGAACCGTTTACCTTGATTGGCTGCCTAGAAGGCCACGGGGCCGCCGTCAATGCCATCCAGGTTCGTGACCGGACCATTGTCTCCGTCTCTGGAGACCGGCACATCAAGGTATGGAACTGGCCTGATTGGGTCTGCACTCAAACCATCCCCGCACACGATAAGGGAATCGCGTGCGTTGAGTTTGACGAACGACGCATCGTGAGCGGCAGCAGCGACAATGAGGTTTGCATCTTTGACGCCCCGACTGGGCTCAAGGTGGCCCAGCTCCGGGGCCATTCCCATCTTGTCCGGACCGTGCAGGCAGGCTTTGGCGATCTTCCTTACAGCAAGGAGGAGGACGAGGCCCAGGCCAAGGCCGTCGACGCCGAGTACTTTAGAGCAGTCGAGGCGGGAGAGATTAACCACGACAACGATCGCCGGAGCCGTCGGACTAGGAGAGTCAATGCCGGCAGCTCGAGGCCGGCGGAGATTCAGGCGTATGGCGCCAAGATCCCGCCGGGGGGCGGCGGGGGCAGGAAATATGGGCGAATCGTGTCCGGCTCGTATGATCAGAGTATCATCATATGGAGGCGGGACAAGGAGGGCGTCTGGAAGCCTGCCCACCACCTCCGACAGGAAGAGGCGGCTGCCGCGGCACAGCGGAACATGACCGCGGCCGTCCAGCCGCCCGGCGCCCGCAGTCCGCCTCAAGCTGATGTTTCGCCACTTCCCATAGTCCAAACCCCGGGTGGCACGTCGCCGCGTCCTAGGGAAACGATGCCGGGGAGCGTCAGCCAAGGGGGAGGAGGCCCACTGCCGCCGATCCGTGATCCCCATGGCGACTCACACGGATCCGCCCGCCTGTACATGGCGCTGATTGACCAAGTCGTGCCCCTCGGAGCGGCCGCTCTAGAGCAAGCCTTGAGAAACTATCCGGTTATACTAGCTTATCAGACGTACCTGCAGACAGCCATCGAACGCGAACCCTCGGCGTTCGTTCGGTCCCAGCTTCGGCAGGTGGTGGGAACGGCATTGTCTGCCATACAAGATGGGCAGTCGGCAAGGCAACGACTCGGCACCGTGGCCGTCACCCGTCACCCAAGTGCCGCTGAGTCTCCTGGCGGCCCGGCCAGCTCCGGGGCCGCCACCGCAGGCTTGCCGGACTCGCGAGGATCAGCCAGTGGCGGCGGCGGAGCAAGCGCCCATCAGCACGACGCTCATGCTGCGGTGCCGGAGCCGTCGCAACCCGTGCCTTCACCTGCCGACGTGCCGGCCCAGAGCGCACAAACACACGCTCTGGTCGCAACTCCAGCGGCGCCTCCCGCGCCGCTGCCCGCTCCTCCCCAACCGGCCTATGTGCCGCTGGCGCAGCAGCAGCGGCAACCGGCGGCAGCGGCGGCGGCGACGGCTCAAGACCAGAACAATGGCCAATTGGTGCACCACCACCCGCACATTGCTGCGGCTGAGAATGCGCCGGCGCGCGTGTTCAAGTTGCAATTTGACGCCCGAAAGATCGTGTGCTGTAGTCAAGCGCCAGTCATTGTGGGTTGGGACTTTTGTAACGGAGAGGCTGAGCTGGAGGAGGCGTCTCGATTCTTCGCCACGGTAGACTAGAGCCTCAGTCGGTGTCTGATGGAAACTATAGCACAGGTTGTCATGGCATGTCACGATACATATGCCGAGTCGAGACGGCCGAGGAACGACAGCTTTGGTCAATCGACAGTATTCAGGGAGTCTACAAAGGCAGGGCCGCAGACACGAGCGAAGCGTTCGAGCATTTCAGCGACGGCCTACTAGTATATAGCCTTATTGCATGTATATCAAGAAATGCCTTATGATTTCCAAGAAGCCTGGCATTCCGCAGTGGAAAAACGCCGGGAATGAAGTCCGTAGTACCCGACGTAACGCCTGTTCGCAGCAAGAGAAGACGCTTATCCAGCCGCCTGCTTAACCTTGTCCTCGGTCTGGGGCGGCTCGTCGACAAAGTCGGGCACGGCCTCGTCCTGCAAGAAGCCGGGCAGCTGGCCGCTCATTTCCTGCTCGAGCTCCTGCTCCATGCCGAGAGCCTCCAACTCGGCATCGAGCTCCGTCTCGTCGACCTCGTCTGGGATATCATAGCTCCTCGCCAAGCTATCCTGGATTTCGTTGCCAACGTCGAGGAGGTCGGCCATGTCGTCTTGCAGTCGCTCAATCTTGTCGACGTCAATCTTGCCGTACTGCTTGCGCAGCTCCTTGTTCGTCGTCTTCATGGCGTCGACCTGGGTCATGACGTTTTTGAGATTGTCCTGCATGCTTTGGGCCTGTTCCATGTTCCAGACCTGGCTGTCGAGCTTGTCCTTTTCGGCCTCGTACGCCTTGCGGCGCTGGAGGACCTTGAGGGCCTTTTGCTTGAGGGCCTGCTTGCCGGGGCCGTCGCGCATGCGGGATAGCTTCTCTTGGTAGGCGGAGAGCTCGCCGTTGAGGGCCTTGAGCTTTGTGTCGATGGAGGCGATGCGCGTGTCGATGTTTGTGATGGCGCCCGTGAGGGTGGGCTTGGGCGCGGCGGCCTTGGAGCCGAAGAGGCGGTTCATTGTGGTGGATGGATATGTCTTGGGTCTCTTCCCGTTTCGCGTATCGGCCGTGGCAGAGGCGTCTGTGAGGGCGAGGGGCATGGGCTTCGAGGCGCAAAAGACGTCGGGCGTTGCTACGTGGAGAGGGATGACGTTGGCGATGAGGTGCGGCGCAGGCACCAGCTCCAGCCACACTCACGGGTTATGCACCTGCTGTGGGTATGCTGTGGGTGACGGCAGGGGCCCTCGGCGGCTCGCGTCCCACTACTGAGTCAGCCGAGACACGCTGTAGAGGCGTCGAGCCAGGGTCCATGTACGGATGGATATGTACCTGGATACGGTACATGCCCTTTACAGACGACTTGATGAAGGATGGAATTCATGCGCAGGGGGGAATCCCATTCAGGAAAGGCAGCGTACTTTCAAGCGGGTATATGGAGCCTGCATTGACATAAAATGGCACCTTTCAAGCTCTCTTGGGCTACTGCTGCTCTTTGTAGAGTCTACTCTGCACCGACGTCGTTTCATAGCACCGCCGTTGAGCGTCGACGGCGGCGACAGTTTGCGAGGCGAGCAGCAGCTCCAGCAGTGGCCTACAGCTGGCAAACAAGGGCTACAAACCATCAAAAGGCACAGAATATTTTCTCATATTTCCTCGGCAACGGCAATCTGCACACGAATCAAGTCTGCCACTCATTCATGTCCTATTCGTGAAGAACAGGGCCTCAAACAGGACTAGCGCGTCGGGCGGTGTACCGACCCGCCAATAGGTACAACGTAAACAAATCGTTCTGCCACCACCCCCCCCCCCTCTTCCACCCTTCCCCCAAGTACCTGTAGAGCTTGGCTCACTTGTGTTATCACCACTCACTCTTCTTCCTCACGCCGCGTCCTTCGACCCTTTTGCCCCGGCGTGCCCTCTCACACCAATCACCCTACATTTTGGCGTCTTAGCCAACAGTACACTAGCTTTCTGAATTCTTCATCTCATTTTCAGTTTTCGTTTCCCATTCTGGCAGCTTTCGTTTACCATTCCGATAGTCGCGTCTGTGTCGATCATGGACGCGGCAAACACCGGGGAGCGGCCCCATGGGTCCCCCAGCGAGCAAATGTACGTGCAATTGAAGCAAGTTTCATGAGATGGAAAGCTGACAGAACTTGCCACAGGAACCCAAACGCACATAATCAAGATCAGGATCCTATCAACGCCCGCGGGCGCACCAGGACCAGGGACGAGGATGTTGAGGACGAGGCTGATCTCAAGGGTCCGGCGATCGCGTAAGTGCCACGCTGAGTCCAGAAACATTCGTGGTGCATCTACTGACGTGCTTGTGCAACAACAGCTTGACCGAGTCTCATCTGCGAGTGCCGGCTTGGACTAGAGTCAAGACTGCGGCTCGACCGCACAGAACTGTCCGCCATATCATGCGCAGAATTGGCACTCTTGCCTTGAAATTCACCAAGAAGAAGAAGCGTCAAACGAAAGAGACTCAAGATGACAGGTGTGAGCTTCCGCGGGCCAGACACCAGCGAACGCAAGCCTTCAAGCCTTGCCAAGATGATTGGCAGACTGTCGGCTTGCCTCAGTCAAAGGCTGAAATGGCCTGCCAGGTCATGAGTGCCAAAGGTATGTTTTCCCATTCTCATTCACCGCGACCGGAGCACGCACTGACAAGGAGAACAGTCGACATTGCCAACCGAGTCTTAGAGCTCCCTGCTGAAGCCTTTGTGGCCGAAGTTGATGATCTTCTCAATTCTGTCCACACAAAGGTCGTTCCCGCCAAACGCGGTATCGACCGCCATTACCGCCTGGAGCAGGTTGGCATCGTCGGTGGCCACCGGCTCAAGTCATACAACATGATCTGGCCAATCTTGGTCAAAGGCGCAGAGATGGCCGGGCGAAGGATCGATATCCAAGCTGCAGCCTTTGCCCAACTTGCTGCCCACCTTCAGGAGGCGCGTCCGGACCCGAGGGTTCCGATTGCTGGCACCGGTCGCCCAGATCTGTCCGATATTGCCGACGTGACGGAGCCAGAGAGCTTCATGGCCCTCATGAGAGCTCCCGAGGGGACGGCACTCGCCACGTCGCCCACGAAGCGACCGGCTCAACCCATCACCCCCATCATGGCCAGACCGGCTCGACTGAGCGAGACCAAGATTGAGCTCCTGCCCGCACCTACCCCCATCACCGAGTCGTCTCCTGTAAAGTCGTCTCCCCTCCCCGCGTCCTTTGCAGACACCCCTTCGCCGCGAAGGATTGTGGCAACATCCCCATCGCTCGAGACTTTCGCGACTGGCTGCTCTGTGCGTGTGGCTCCGGGGCAGATGCCATCGTCGCCCCTCCGGCCCAACACGGCCCCCAGGAGTTTCCAGGTTCCGTCCGATGACGACAGTACCACTTTGACTCCCAAGGCCCATGCCGCCACCGGAGTTTTCATGGCTTCGTCGTATGACGACTCGACGTCGAGCGCCGGGATCAACACCTCGAACGAGCGTGCCGATGCCCAGGCTGGTGATCAGCTGGCGTTGAATCCCAGGCCCGACACCTCCAAGGTTTTTCAGGTCCCCTCCGATGCCGAATCTACGTTGAGCTCTGATACCAACTCATTCCAGTATGCTCAGGATCAAGCTGGTCACGGCTCTATCATGAGTGCCAAAACCGGCAACTCGCCCCAGGCTTCCAAAGTCGCGTCTGCTGACGCCTTTGGATCAAGCCCAGCGCACGCCGGGAAAGAAACATTGTCTGCACCATCTTCACCGATCAATTTCAGCCGCCCGTTTCCCTCGACTCCGGTCGGGCGATATCAGCTGGAGAGCACTACTCCCCACGAGTCGGTCCCCATGCCTTCGTCGCCTACTCCAGGCCTCACTCAGTCGAAAAAGAGCCTCCTTGAAGCCATGCCACCGTTTACTCCACGCCTGCCGGTGTCGGAACTAGGCGGCATGGATACGAACAAGGACACAAAGTTTGACTTTGGAACGACCTCGGCGTCCTTCAATTCGCCCTCGTCCATTTTGCCCTCGTGGGCGAACCCTCACCTCGCTGCCGAGGCTCAAAAGAAGCTTCGCAGAAAGAGCGAGCCACTGTTTCGCACCTTTTTCAAAGGCCGAGCGGCCGCTCACTTGTCTGCTTCGCCCAAGAAGGTCACATTTCGGGACTTGGTCGACCAGAGTACCCCTGGCTCCCTCCGAGCCGACTCGTTTCCGTACGAGCCAAATGCCGAAAACGCGATTGCCCGCCAGCAGCAGAATTTGCTCACTCCTGAGATAACCATCTCGCCCGCAGCGGCTGTGGGTGGCGCTGCGACGCCTGCAATCTCATGGGCCTATATGACCGGCCGTGCTGCTTCCGACACCATCGGGCAGAGAACCCCTCAGGCCATGGACCAAGTGAATGATCGGGAGAGTGTCCTTAGTGTGGACATGCACCGAAATCTCAACATCTTTGGCGGAGAAGAGGTCTCGCCCTTCAAGCGGCGCGCCACTGCTATTGACCAGCTGGCTCGGATTGCGGAAGCCAACTGCGATGGCCAAGCCAAGGTCGTCGTCACGCAGGAACATGCCAGGTTCTTCGTTCGGTTTAAGCTGCCGACCAAGTTCGCTTTCATGTTTCCACCTGCCCAAGGCTTCGACGAGTCGCGATTTACTACCACGCCCTCCATCTCATCCTCGCCCCGGATCAGGGTCCCGGGCCCCTACCCGTCGGTCGAGGGCGCCGTCTCGTCGCCTCATCCCTCGCCCATGCGCTACCTGTCGGTTGAGGGCGCCGTCTCGTCGCCTCATCCCTCGCCCATGCGCTACCTGTCGGTTGAGGGCGCCTTCTCGTCGCCTCAACCTTCGCCCCTGCGAACGCCCGCAATTGCCCCTGCCCATCACGATAACACCATGGTGTGCGACGGCTTTGCGCCTTCGCCCTCGGGCTTTCGTACAGGCCCTGCGTTTGCACATGGACAAGACTCCTTTTCACTCTCCATCGATGCGACCGCCAATTATCATGTCGACGAGCACTCCACCACTATTCCTTGGCGTCAATCCTCGGACCTGCATCTGGACTCGCTGGTGGCCGGAGCCAACGCACCTCACCCTGCCCACCACGACCCGATGGAGGAATCCGATAGTTCTTTGACCGAGCTAATGTCCCTGGACGTGGAAATGACGCCTGCTGGGGAGGACCACGACATGGACTACGCGGCTCATGAGAGAATGTCGGCACAATCCGACGTCGAGATGAGTGATCTGGCTCCCGCCAAAGAGGAATACACGACTGCCAACCCCACAGGCATGATCATCGGAGACCAACGGATTAGCCCGAGTTACAAATTGAGCCCTTGGTACATGGGAATTCCTACCATGCAGACGAGCGACGACGACTATGGATGGGACGATGTGCGGCGTCTGGGGCAGAATCACGTCGTGCGGGATCACGACAATCACAGCCCAGGCCGTGAGTACATGAGAGGGTTCATCAATCGTGCCAGGCCCAAAAGGCTCTCGGCAACGGAGACTGGGTCTCCCATTGTCCTTCCAACGAGGCGACCCCCCCTTGGGGCTAAGGACCCCAATACGGAGAGCCCGCTGCTGGGCAAACGCAAGGCTCAGGTCGAGAGGCAGGAGGCACGGTCTCCGTTTAAGAGAGGAGCTGCGCCCGTGCTGAAGCACCAGTGGTTTGAGGCAAGCATGGCATCGCATGGCGAGCAGGACCATGAGATGCAAGACACTGAGCCCAAAAGGTTGATGAGAGGCGGAGAAAACGTGGCGGCATTCCAATCAGACGAGGAAATGACGGATGCACCGGCCATGCGGCGGTCGTCACGCCTGCGCACTCTGAGGAAGCCGAAGACTGCACCGAAATCATCCATCCCGACTCCGATCAAAGTCAGCAGCCGGGCGGGAAGCGGTCGTGGACACCCACCCAAGCCCAAGTCGAGATCAGTCCAGCATGAGCTGAGCCAGCAGACGCGTATCAATACTCGCAAGAATAAGGGAAATGCAGAGTATCCTTCGCAGATGCTGGCCAGGCTTAGCATACACGAGATGGAGGTGGACACACAGGCCAACCACTTCAGCAAGGCGACGAAGTCGTCGAGAGACACTAAGAGTGTCGGGTGGAGAGAGCCTCTCGTGTCCCACCAGGACGAGCCGCCCAAGAGAGGCAGGCGTGCCAAGATCAAGCCAAAGGCAACCCAAGGCCAGACGGGGGTTGAGAAGCTGCAGAGACAGGATGCAGCGGCGAGGAAGAAGCGCACTGCCCAAGTGGCGACGAACCTGGGCCTGCCGGCGATGGACCTGGGCCTGCCAGTGAATGGAGCCCCTGCCAGGCCCGGGCGAATCACCCGAGCTGCGGCACGGGCGCAGCAGTAAGAAGGCGACGGACGCTTTGCCACATGGTGTTTTTTCTTTCTTTTCAAGACTGCGCGGAGTTGAACGGACATGATTCTGATCAGAGCGCGACGGCCGAAACGACATTTGCGAGCACTTTGCGCAGGGCGTCTGGTGGATTTGAGAGATACCACTGAATTCTGAAGTTTGAGAAAAGCCGGATTGGAGATGTCAGAAAATGTACGGCGTTGGGATACCGAGGTTGACGAATTTTCAGCAATGTCTGCAGGATGTCCTCCGGCAGGCAGACGAGAGGGCTGCTTTTTGATGCTGCCGACGTTGGGTTGGCTTTGGACGGGCCATGCATGACTGGATGTCCTCGAGTAGGCAGATGAGGACGGCCTGCCTTTTGACGCGGCTGAATTCAGACTGGCCTTTGGACGGGCGACGCCGCGGTGGTGAAGGCACTGGAGTCGGCATGGACGACACTTGAGCAGATGTCACGGGATGGAGGGCTTTGGTTCATGGGGGATCAAAGCGTTGTTTGGATGAATGTATTCATGATGTTAGTCATCAGACGAGGATGTAGTCAAATCAAGCAACCGAATTCACCAATGGAGCCGTTGTGCTCGAGAGCGGATGGATCAGGGGCGTTTGTCGGGCTTGGAGCATGGCTCACCACGTCCTGACGGCTTCCTCCTCCACAAGCTTCATGGGAAGATATCGGATGCCCCCGCCATTCATTTTCCTTCTCTGTTAACCAGCAAACAGGGTTGTCATTTTCGGTTGAATTAATTACTGAGTTGCTGCATCGAGAGAGTCCATGACATCATGGCCACATGCCGAGGAGGAGGAGGCGGATGGGATGGGGAGCGACCAAAGGCCATGCTTGGATTTGGCATGCATCTGCGGCTGCTATTCGTACCTCGGCTGACCTTGTCATTGCTGACCCCTTGCTACAGTAGACAAACGGCGTCGTCATTTCGACCTTGTGTGCGGCGTCGTCGCCACTGGCCACAGCAGGGTAAGCCCAGGCAGGGTAAGCCAAGGCAGGGTAAGCCAAGGCAGCCAGTCTGTGGTGGCGAGGGGCGTCGTCGGAAGACTGTCTGCGCGTCCCTCCCTCTGTGCGTCATGGACTTTGTCGACGATGCGGGCCAAGATATGTACTGTACGAGTGTATGCTCATGCATGGAGACGTTTGATGCCAGACGACGACGGACATGGTGGCCGATTCCCCCCCCGATTCTGTGCCAAGATGCGTACGATGAGGCACTTTTACATGCATCGACCCATGTACAGTACTGTACTGTACAGTAGTCCATTTGTTACCTTGCCATGCTGTGCCGTAAGAGGCAACAATAGCCGTGGATGGGGAACTTTCTTGTCTCACAGGTAATCCATATCGACCCGATGGGGGAGAAAGAATGGGCAAGAGGAGGGGCTCGGAAGCGAAGAGGAGAGAGAAAGGCGGCGTCGGGGCGGACAAGCAGGGGGGGCTGCTGACACTCCCGCAAAAGGCGGGGGGGGAGACGGAAAAAGGCTCGTGATGCTTCTTTTCCCTCTCTCCTGTAGCTCGGTCTTGCAGCGCCGACCGTCGGCTGACTAGACCGCCGGGGCGGATAGGGCCGGTCGGCCGACGGAGGCGCGGAACGACGACGGCGGTGCCCGCGGATAGATAATTAGCGTCGTGAGGGGAAATGGAAGAAGAAGAAGCAGAGGAAGCAGCAAAAGAAGAGGAAGACGAAGACTTCAGACAACGATGGAGGACCAAGGCTAATTAGCGAGCGAGTGCTTCTTTGCAGCTTGACCGGCTTTTGCGTGCATATGAGGAAAATTCACCGGCGACTGGGACGGGAAACCCGGAATCCGGCCGGCCGGTCTGCAGAGAATGGGGGGGGAGGCTGCCACTGTCAGGCGAAGGGATCGCCGGGACATGCATCCACAATGGGAAAAGAAAGCGGGGGGTACGTGTGCAAAGGGGGCGGCGGACGCTGGTGCTCGGATCCATGGGCATGGGCGCCGTTCGGCACATGCGTGTCTTGCTCGGAGCATGGATGGTGGCATGCGAGACGGGACTTGACACTTTGATCAATATCACGTCCCACGGTTACGAAGTGCGTAGGGAGTAGGTGTTACGGCCAGGCACATACGAGCCTTGACGGCTATAAAGATGTATTGGCACTATGAACAAAGACTCAAAGCTAAGGAGCAAGAAAGGAAGACTAGACTACACGACCGAGCGGGCCCTTATATAGACACGAGGTCGCGCGTGGGCACGTGATGCTGCTTGGGCACGTGACACTGGTGAGGTTCTGCGCTGGCGGCTCTACGCTGGCGCCCCGAGCGGGCCCTTATATAGACACGAGGTCGCGCGTGGGCACGTGATGCTGCTTGGGCACGTGACACTGGTGAGGTTCTGCGCTGGCGGCTCTACGCTGGCGCCCAGGGTCGTGACAGTAGGGAGTATGATTTAGAGTATAATTAGGTGGTATCGCCTTGAGACGTGGTTCACTCGAGCATCCGGCTTTGTCTTGACCGACGGCGTCTTCCTTTACGGCCGAGCCACGGTCGTGGCCAGAGAGGAAGGGAGTGAGTGAGTGCGTGCGTGGTAAGAGACGAGCTGCCAGACTGGGAAGCTGAAGGCCCCGAGACGGACGCGTGATGGCTTGGGGGCCGGCGCTTCTCTGGCCATGGCTTGATTAGGAAGTCCGGAACTGTCTCTACTGTCTCTTGTCTCTGTCAGTGCCTACGCCTTGTGTGCGTGTGTGTATGTGTGTGTGTGTGTGTGTACTCCGTATGTGCGTGACGGGACCTCGGGCGGCCCCCCGGTCGTCGTCGTCGATCTCGGCAAAAAAAAAAAATAGGACAAGACAGGAAAGAAGAGAAGAACAACTTGTTCCCTTGCACGTCTCGGCAGACGGGGACCGTGCGGCGGGTGAGCGGGCAGGCGGGCGGGCGGGATGCCGAAGGCGGGGAGGAGGAGGGACGGAGGGAGGGTCTGTCTGTGTTGCCACGCAGGGCCTTTTTTTTTGGGAGGGTCCTGCACGTCGAAGCCATGTACTGTAGAAGGCTGTTTCGACATTATCAATTGTCTCGAGGTGCGAGTTGGCTGTGTGTGCTGGTGATGGTTGACGTGTACATGCGTATCGATGATTGCTCGACCGCCTTGATCAAGTTGGCCGTGTTACCGAGTGCGAGGGTGACATGTTCGTGACGAGGGTAAGCCGCAAACCCAACAGCCAAGGCCATGTCGAGAGGCGGGACGCACGAGGCAGCCTGGCCGCGGCAGCTGGGGCGGAGTGTCGGTCGGGTGCTGACGGCTGACTTGACACACACACACACACACACACACACTCTCTCCTCTGTGGTGGAGGGACTGATAGCGTAGGGGCCCCCGACGATTGGTGGCCTCGGGAGAGGCTGTCGAATCTGCCAAGAAGAGGCATGCATGCACATGTGCCGTGTGACAGACATGCAAGTCCAGCCCGGGTGGACGACGCAGGTGAGCCAAGTGAGGTGAGGTGAGGCGCGGTGGATGGCCACGATCGGCACGGCATCCGTGACGGGCGGCCATGTAGGGACCAACTGTAATTTATCTCGACACCGCTCGCAGCAGTGATGACGCCGGGGATAGGCGTTGCATCTTGCGAGGCGACTCGCTCTGTTGGTGGTGAGGTGCACGGCGATAAGGGGCACCACCAACTAACTACACGGCCTGAAGGCAAACACTCTCCGACTGCGCCCACCAACGGACACCAAAAAAAAGAAGTGCTGATTAGGCAGGAAAACACTTGACCCCTTTTCCGTACATGCGGGGGAATTTGCAGCAGCCACACGATACATGTGCGGCGAAGATTGGGTTTTTTTTGTTTCCTCCTCTTGTCGAATACCTTTCTTGGGTGGTCAATTGTCTCATCTTTTTGCATCCCAAAGAACGGATACATATCGGTCAAAGTACCTGGGCATGTACCTACTGTACCTCCTGGTCCGGCCCGGGCGGGCGGTGTGGTGCGAGTGGGGACAAGACGCAACTGTGGAAACTGTGGACCGAGGTAGCCCCCCCTGTATTTCGAGCTGCACACAGGGCCCAGCAGGGATCTTGGGCGATGATGATGACGGATTGCCAGGTGCCCGGGATCGACGGCGGACACGACTCGTGCTCTCGTCGGTTCCAGGGCAATCACTACGGGCTCTTTTGTGGGAGAAGAGATGGAGAGACGAAAGGGAATCCAATACCAATACTCCGTAAAAGAGGCAGCAGTCCAGCTCTGCGCTATCTGGCTTGCCGGGGCCCGACGGCGCTAAGCCCGCCCCGGCAGAGGAGCGGCAAGCCGAAGGAAAAGGAAGCAGAGAAGGAAGAAAATAAGCACGAGCCCCATCAGCACGAGGCACGCACCGTCCATGCCATCCATCCATGCCATCCATCCGTCCATGCCATCCATCCGTCCGTCATCCATCCCAGCTCCGAGGCGTTGCCTGCCTGCCTGCCCGCCCGCCTGCCTGCCCGCCTGCTGATTGCCGCTGACCAGCCGAAGAGCTAGTCCTACATACCTACAGCAGGTACGGATACGGTGGGTAGGTACCTCTTTGCCCAGGCCAAACCAGAGGTACCCGACCAACTAGCTTACCTACCTCGGTACTTACTGTACCTACCTACCTACTTACCTACCTACTCAGGTACCTCGGTAAAGTACCTAGGTACTGGTCCGTGTCCCGGCTTGACCCCGGTGTCTCCGAAGCAGCTGCCAAAAACTGAATGGACAATTGCCTGCATGTACCCCTACTGGCTGCCGCAGGTACTCCGTACTCCTATATGACTGCAGCTCCCCCCCCGATCCTGGATGGAACCCCTATTTCCCCCCCCTACAATTTTCCATCTTCATCATTTCTTTCACCACCGCCTCTTTCTTTTCCTTCTCCTCTTGCATCCGGCCGCCTCGACCATCACCGGCCCATCTTCACCTTTCCCATCCGTCGTCGCTGCGCATTCGTCGGATCCGGCATCTGGCGCCGTGTTGTGTCTCGAAATCTCCATACCTTTGACAGGTAGCGCTACCTGGGCCGGCCTCCCACCCACCCTCCCCCGTCTGCTCTCTCCGTTCTACACAAACACACCCACCCACCACCACACACAAGCACATACACACACACACACACACAACACACACACACACACACACACCTCGCGCGCGTCCGCATACACACACTCTCACACACGCACGCACGCCCGACCAACAAAACGCCTCGCTTTTCCCGACCGCCGCTTTGTTTATCTCGCAAGCAGCCTCTTTTTTCCACCCAGGCCTCACCGACTCTCCCGACGCGGCCCGCCTTGATATAACCGCCTCTTCTCTCCCGTCTGGTCTCGTCGGTCGTCTCATCTCAACTCGCCTCGTCTCCCGTCTCATCTGAACTCACCTCGTCTCCCATCTCATCTCAGCTCATCCCGGCCTCCTCTCTCTCTCTCTCCCCCACCGCCCGCCCGTCTATCGACGCCAACAAACACACAAAGCCCGACTCGCCCCATGCCCACCGCCACCGCCACCATGATGATGGCGCCCACGTCGTCGGACGCGACCTACTACTACTTCGTTCCCGACCTGCGCGCCCTCGATCCCGCCGCCCGCGAGGTCGACCTCGACGCGCACGTCTGGGTCCAGCCCACCGTCATCGACGACGACGACCTGACCTTTGGCGGCAAGTCCCTGAGCACCTGGTACGAGGAGGAGCGTCGCCGCCTCAGCAGTGGCGGCAGCGACGACGGCCACAGCCAGTCGAGCCACAACGAGGAACGCAGGGGGCGCGAGCGCACCCGCAGGCATCACAAGGGCGCCTTGAGCAAGGGCCATGGCCACAAGTGAGCCTCGCTGGTTGCCATGCCTCCCTGTCGACGAAGCCGTGCTTCCTTCAACGCGAGCCTCTCCCGTCACCTGCTTTCACGTCCACCATGCGCGCCTCTCGTCATCTGCTTGACCACGACCATGCGCCGCCTCGACTGTGCGCTCGATGCGCCATCTCCTTTGCGCTTTTCCCTCCCCTCGGCAAGACAGTCCGATACCATGATATAGCATCGTCTTCTTCGCCTGCTCTTATAGAAGACACATAGAATGTGTTTTATTTGACCTTTTCGCTCTCGTTCTCTGCGACACACAGGACCCTACCAGCAAGGCAAGGGGTCGCAACTCGCCTACACTGTCCTCAACAACCGTTCCCGCGACGCCCCAACCTCATTCCCCATCATCCTCACCAGCGCGTCGTCGCTTGCATCACTTCGGCGTTTTACTCATGTTGCTTCTACTCCCTTGCGGCCTATTGCTGTCACAGCGTTCGTGCTCCGGCACCTGGGTACATGGCATCTTTGTTTTTGGAGTTTTTAGGCCGAGGACAGCCTCTGCGGTTTGTGCCTCCTCAATCTGGGCGGCTAATGGAACATGTTGGCCACTGCAGGGCCTTGTGGAAGAGTGGACCGGGCCCGACGGCATGACGTGGCGGTGGCGACACAGACCATGTTCGTCTCCGTATCTAGCTCAAGCTCAAACGCGGAGCAACTATACCCAACCGTTTTTTCTCTTCACCCTCTCTGTCAATGTCGTCATGGCTTGGCACCAGGTGACGCTGATGCTGGTGCCGACCGTTGCCGGCGGCAATTGCTCTCCGGCCCCCGACGGAGCCGCCGTCGCCGCCGTCGCCGCCAGAAGCGGCCGGAGGGCTGAGAGAGTTCCACAGCGGGGCAGGCGCGGGGGTTCGCCGACGTCGGCGACCGTATTTGAGCGCCGCCAAGTGATGCGTCATTTATCATGAATCCAATAGGTTTGCGTCTGTAGATCCCCGGGTAGGAGATGCCGCTTGCTTTCGGGCACCACTTACTCTTCTCGGCTGAAGCTGGGATGGGCATTTCGGCCAAAATCAGCCTCGGGGTATGCAGAGCGGCAGGGCAAGAATGGAATCTATATTCCATCCCATGTCGCGCATTCCCATACGCTGCACCTTGAGCATGCCACCCACCCAAGTCTATTGTTCAATATACAATGCATTTACACGGGTTCCCAAGAGACTGGATGCAGCCGTCGGTCAGGCTCTGTCTATCCCTTCTGTTTCGTAAACAAGGTCCTCCCATACCATCCTTGTGGCCGCGCAGAGATGGCTCTGGTCTTTTCTTCTCCCTTGATGGCGTGCGTGCTCATGTTCTCTAGTTAGATGAGATGATCTGGTGATGACCTGGGCTTGCCTCCTGGAATTGTCGTGCCGCCCATGGCTATGCGTGGTGCCTTGTGCGCTGACCCCTGGTATATCGGAGAGGCGGTGGGAGGGGTCGTAGGGTTGAAAAAGTGACATGGGTGGTTGGACGGAGGAAGTCGTAGGAAGGGGAAGATGTCTGTGTATATCCATCCACCTCCGCCCATCTCCCCAACTGCCAACATCTATATCCCAGAACGCCCAGTCTCCCTGAGCTGCCGCCCTTGGAGAGGCGGAAACAGGAGCAACGGCGGTACAGGGCTAGACAGAGGGGAAGAGGAGGAGCGCAAAGGACTCGTCCCGCCTCACTCCCAGTCCTTTGCGACGCGCCACTGGTCGTCGAAGCGCAGCTTGGTGCCGGAGAGCAGGTCGCAGTCGCGGTGCCCCCACTTGCGGCGAAAGACCTCGCGGCCGGCCTCGGTCATGATGTCGACGGCCTCGGCCAGCCCGCGCGCCGGGTAGTGGTAGGGCTCGCCGAGGCCGCCGTGCTGGCCGAGCTGCCACGTGTTGCGCCCGCGGCCGCCGTGCTTGTAGTGGAACATGGAGTCGGCGACGCTCTTGAGCTTGAGGAAGTAGGCCTTGGCGGCGGCGTCGGGGCCGGACGCCGAGTCGTGGGGGGCGCGGGCGACGACCCCTTTCGGCGCTTGCGGCGGCTTGCCCTCGGCGGCGGACGGCTCCGGCGGCGGCGGGTTGGGGTCGGTGAAGACGGGCTCGACCGAGGGGTCGCGATACAGGGCGCGCAGGTCGTCGAGGACGGCGCTGACGTCGGTGACGATGGAGGAGCGGGCGTCGCGCTGGGTCCAGTTGCGCATGGCCAGGCGCGAGTGCATGTCGCAGTCGTTCATGTAGTAGGGGATAAAGGGGTCCCAGCCGCCGACGTCGTCGTAGGCCTCGCGGTTGACGAGGCTGAGGTGGTCGTAGGAGAAGAAGACGTTGGACCAGCGCTCGCCGCCGTCGCGGCTCCGCTGCAGCTCGGCCAGGCACAGCTCGTAGACGGACCGGTAGCCCGGCTGGCCGGCCGGGGGCGTGACGCCGTCGAGCCCGTCCTCGAGCGAGAGCACGAGCACGTCCATGTGCGACCAGAAGTAGTAGGGCCAGGCGTGCTCGTGGGCCAGCGTGGTGTAGTAGTTCTGCAGCTGGGCGAAGCTGAGCAGCACGGGGGCGGCGACGACGCGCACGCCCAGCCGGGCCAGCACGCCGTGGTCGAGGAACAGCGGGTTCTGCAGCGTCAGCCGGCCCTGGGCGTTGGCCCGGTGCGCGCCGCCGCCCGTGTTCTCCACCACCCAGATGCTGTCGGGCGGCCAGCCGGCGGCGATGTACGACGCCACGGCCTGCAGCAGCACCGGCCACGTGCGCGTGAAGCCGATGAGCAGCGGCGGCGCGTAGTCGAGCCCGTAGTGCGCGTGGGCGTTTTTGCGCGGCCGGTTCCAGGCCGGCACCGCCGGCGCCGTCGTCAGCCCCGGCATCGGGTCCCGGATCGGCGGCGGCGTCCACGTCGGCTCCGGCAGGTACCGCACGGCGCTCGGGCCCGCCGCCTCCTTGCTCTTGCCCGGGTCGACGATGCCGCTGACGTAGTCCTTTGCGCGCGCCGCCCGCGCGTCGTCTCGCAGGAGGAGCAGGGCCACGCACATGGCCGTCATGCCGGCCGCCAGCAGCGCGTAGCGCCGGCGACCACGCATGGCGAACATGGTCGCTGCTTTATCCCCCCTTCCCTTGTTCTCTGCTTGCGGGGGAGGTGTCTTTCTTCAGATCCGTCTTGGGAAGCCGGTGCTCTGGTTTCCGTCTTTCCTCGTGAGTGACGATGGGAGTGACGATGGGCTCCGAGTTCCCCTGACGCGGTCGGTCTCTTGCCTCTTTCCGCCCTCTGTCTTTTCCCCGTTGTTGAGTTCCGTGCCGGCGAGGCTTGGAGCGGGAGCTCCTGCGGTTCCTGGACTCGCTTTCGAGTCGATGAGTATGAAGGAGAAGGGCGAGTGCCTTTTCCCGGCGAGCAAGAGGGAGACCGGCTTGGTGTGTTGTCTCTCACACCTTCCCGAGAACGACTGGGCTAGCTCCGTCTCGTCCTTGGCCTCGAGCGAACTTCCTTGAGTCAAAGAATGTGTGCGTTCCGAAGCAGGAAAGGCAGAACAGACGTCGTCGGGACCTCCAGCCGACCCCCTTCTTATCACCGTGGAGCAGGACAGGTGAATTTCCCCGTCGTCTCCCAAGGAATCGCCACGTGCCACGCTTGCGTAACCTGGCTTGCGACAACCTGTCCTAAGGCAGAGACAGGTTACTGGGTTCCAGTCCAACGGCGACGCCTGAGAAGAGCTAGCGTTTCTCGGATGTCCAAGCGAGACGGGGCGTCGTCGTCTCCAGCCGCGAGGCTACCTCGATACGCCCACACTCGCCAGCGTTTGGTCCGATGCTATAGAGAGGGCGGGGAGACGAGCGGTGGATGAGATGGGCTGGAGGCTGTGAGGACGGGGGCACTGGGTGGAAACTGAAAGACTTTTTCTGCGAGGGTTTTCTGCGTGGGCAGGCATTCTGCCCTGTGCGTACATTGCCGCGGCGCGAGTCGACGGGCGTGCCATGTACTATTTAACCGGAGGTGGGCCATATCCAGGCTGTTGGTCCTGTTTGCTGTAGCCAACATGCATGTACGAAGTAATTATGGGCGTGGACGAACTGGGCAATAATGGCCGGCGGATAGAGGCGACTGCGGGTGGCGGAGCGCCCAGCTCTGTCCAGTCAAGGCACTCTGGTGCATCCGCGATGCGGCTACCTACATGGGGGCCATATGGGAGCCATGGAACCGTCAATCCTGTTCTGACGAAATGGGCCAAGGCGGCAGAGGTGTAGGAGGGTAGATATATGTCGGCCCGAGGTCGTCATTGCTCGCTGCCTGACCACGATATTCATCTAATCTATACGCACGGACAATGCATCAGCGCAGCAGCAGCATGACCGGGGCACGCGAGTTGTGGAAAATCCCCGATGGCTGTCCAGACGTGGTGGCCCCCCCTGCTTTTCTGCCGCGTGTTGCGCAGACGTCAGGATCGCCGATTTGATACACGCGGGAGCCTGGCCGTCGGCGGGCCGAGAAGCTTGACCGTGAAGCAGCCGACGTGATGGAAAACCCGTTGTCTCGTGGAGGCTCGGAAGTTGGGCAAGTAGAAGGGGGTTGGGGGAGAGGGGGGAGGAGGGGAGGTCGAGCAAGGGAGGATTACGTCGAGGAGGAGGGACAACGGACCGGGTTGTTTTCCTTTTTCGCTCTCTTGGCACGTCGTCTTGCCAGATTGCGGCGCCACGATAATAATGATGCCTTGCTTATTATCTGCAGTGTTCAAGGGGGGTGGTGGTGGTGGTACAATAGACGCGGCTTGAACTGAGAGCCGAAATGTCTTGATTGCCTCCGAGAAGCCAGGAACCAGCATCACTCAACCCACGCACGAAAATAAGGGCCGCAGAAGAGGCTGACTCCAAATCCCGTGCCTCCGGGTCCGCCAATGCCCGCTCGCCCAGCCCTACGGGCGGTGGTGGGCATTTAATCAAGCACCGCTGTCAGCCAAGCCAAGCCCACTCTCCTTTTGTAGCTGGCAAGCGGTTTGAGCAGACAAGACGATGATGATGCGCGCTTGGTACCTGTGAGGAGCGTCGCAAGTCAGGTCTGGCATGTCGATGCAGTGTGGGTTGTTTGCGATGCACAATGAGAGTGATGGAACGATAATGCGCATCAACCAAGCAACTTCGCGCGGTGGATCGATGACGTGACCGATTGATTCGAGCATAGTTAACTTATGGAGCAGCAGCATCCGACGACCAATGGTGTTTCGTACGCGGCAGGGGGAAGATAGCATGGCCGGACCGGGGCCGGGACGATGGTGGTTGCTGCCAGCATGGATCAACATCAAGCCCTGTCATCGTCGTCCGGAGGTATGGGCTCTAAGCGAGCAGCTTCGTCGTGGCCCCGCCCGTAACAGAGCGAGGCATAAGTTACGATCCGGCGTCAATGGCTAAATTCTGCAGGCCTCGAGAGAGAAAGATCCGGCCGGCCCCTCCTCAGCGGTCCCCCCTGGCCGACTTTTCACCTGCGAAATACTGTACTGTACATGATACCTACCACTCCGTATGGCCTTGTTTGTGCGCCGTTTTCTCCTTCTCTTCTTGCCGTGGCTGCCGGTGGCATGTAATAGAGCATAAAGCCACTCGAGGCGGGCTCCGTGTTCTATCAGACGCCGCAACGGCACAGCGCCCACACACCACCGAGCACCACGCCGCGTCTCTCTGCCCGTCGTCGTCGGCACGTTTCCGTGTGTATGCGCTGCAACCCACTTGGGTGGGTGCCGCCTGAACCTTGACGACTCCCTGCCGCAACGGCCGTTGCATTTCCACCCTCCCCTCCGTGGCCCACCACTCGCGATTCTCGTTCCCGATGCTCGGCTCCTCCAGCCTGATTCAGCCCGAGCCGCCACGGCATCGCGGCGGTGGCAAAGCCCCCCCCTGGCAGTCGTGGTTCCCTGCTAACCCAACATTGAACCTTCTGTCCACGCTGCACCGTCGGCGCTGCCGCCTTTGTCTCGCGGCGGCCGCTCCTTATTTGTCTCGTGGCCCGCGGCGCGGCCATGTGTGCCTTTGTCGCCGCCGCGAGGTGGCTGGCGTCCGTCTCGGCCGGTTCTGGGCAAGAGGAATGACTTGACCAACGAAGAGCCAGGCTAGAGCGAGCCACGGCGGGGAAACAAAAAGACGGCTTGGACGCGGGTTAAACTACCCAGGCAGGGGGGGGCTCGACTCTGCAGAGCGGTTCACGTCAGGGTGCGTCAAGGTGAAAAGCCCGCGAGACACGATGGAAGGGCTCGCTCGGCCAGAAAGGAGAGACAGAGGCCAAGTGCCGAGCTGTCCTGCCACATCACCGCCGTCCCTCGTGTTGATGTGTTGGCCGCCGGCACTCGTCGATGTGCTCGCCAATGCGTGCCTGATTGGACACGGCACCGGGCAATGGGGGTGCCATGATATGACGCTCCAAACAGAGTCAAGACTGGCCGTCCCCCACTTGGGCCTCCCTCCCTCTCAATGCCGTCCGTCCCGCCGTATGCAATGCCCTCTCGTGATCCACCCTCGTCCTGTCTTGTCCCAGCGACTAGCCCGGCGAACCACCTGTCCATCCAGTGTTTACCCAGTTTCAATCTCCCAAGGCAAAGCTCCTTGAAACCGAGTGACGGCATCGGGCCACCTTTCTTCCCTCTCCTCGTCTCCCCTCTCGGCGCTCATCCGGCGGAAAGGGAGAGAGAGAGAGAGCCAAGTCAATCAAGTCAGGTAGGCAGACGAGGCAGCGAGGGTGAGAGACTGGGCACATGGGAAATAGACTCGGCCCAACCGAAAGTCAGTCTTGGACGCGCAACTGCTGCATTCTATTTGATTTTTGAGTTGGAGAATGGCAACGCAGCCTGCTCGATGCCGCCTAGGGGCTTACGAATGGACAGACACCACGGTCGAGATGGATGACGGGGGGGTAGCGGACGCCATCGTACACAGCCGCTGGTGGTGCCAGCAGCCAACCAAGCTTTGGAGGCGTTGAAGATCCCTGCTGGTTTGCCTCGTGCATACTGGTACTGTACCGAGTATGGGCCACAAGTCATCAATATTCATGGCACCATGGTTCCCAGAAGGCGTGGCCGTCCAATGTGTCCATGCCGTGCACGCTCCATCCCCACGGCGTACGCAAAGCCGTGCAGCCGCCGCTGTTTATCGCCAAGGGGCTCGACTGACACTGGGAGAGCCCGTCCCCACCCGCGATGGCATCTCAGCCATCACAACCCTCTATGCTCGGGCGTGGTGGTGGGATGTTTTGCCCGATCCCCGCGTCCCGCCCCGGCCGGGCTGATGAGACATGGGATCGACATTCGGCCGCGACAGACAAGCAGCAAGAAAGTATCCCACCGTGGGAAGGGGGACAAGGCCCTGAGCGAGCCGGGTTGGTGAGGCAGAGCTAGACAGCGAGTTATCGCTTTTGGGTCTAGGGAGCGAAATATTACAGAAAATGCATGCGCATGAACAAGCGTATGACTGGAATTCCTGCTCCCACCGAGTCGCGCCTGGGCTTTCTTTTAAAAGGGAGGGCCCGGGAGCTGCCTCTTTTCCCTTTCTTTCTTTTGCCCCGTCATCGATCCGTCTCCTATCCATTGTTACTTACACTTCTTCTCCCCCCTCTTTCGTCTAGGCGGGCGAGACGTCCACATATATATGAGTCGTTGGCCTTGTTCACGACTCACACCTACTTACATGCACTCTACCAGCTTCCGATATATATAAGACGGCTGCCCACCCATCTATACACGGCCCATTCAATATACTTTGTATACTCGACAGCACGACCGCCATCCGTCTAAAATCATTCTTCCTCTTCTCAAAAGCACATCTCTGAAGGACTTGCGAAAAGACACACCCACCCTTGCCCCAGGCATCTCTCCCGTCGACGACAATGAGATACAACCAGCTGAATCGCCTGCGCCGCTTCTCGTCCTCCTCCTCGTGCGCGTCCGCCTCGTCAACCACATCAAGATGCTCGTCCCGGGGCCCGCCCGTCGAGGACCACGACGACGGCCACGACAGCCGCGCACCCCGCGGCCGCCAAGACAGCACCGCGTCGACGACGGCCCCGAGGCGCAGCTGCGAGGGCATGACGGCTGCCGAGACGCGCGGGCTATGGCAGTGCATGCTGGAGCTGCAGCAGCGCTACGGGTGCTACAATTCGACGCGCATCGACCTGGCGGTGCATGCCGGCGATGAGGGCGCCCGCCTCATGCGTGAGTACCGTCCTGTCCCCCTCTTGGATTCCGTCCTGCAATGTTGTACTGTACTTGGTGGTAGTATATCTGATGGAATCTCTATTACCGTTGCCGTGGTTGACTCGCGAGACTAACACGGCGTTGATCCCAGCCAACCCATTCATCATCGACACGCTCAACAACTCCGTCGTCGACCTCCCCGCCGAGGGCTGGCAAAAGCTCGACCGCTGTCTCATACGAACCGCGCCGTCGAGCTCGCCCAAGCCCAAGCCGAAGCGCAGGTTCTGGAGCAGACACTGAAGCTGAGCCGCGTCACGGCGGGCGCACATGACAAAACATGATATATTACGACACGGCGTACATGAACAGGCCGCCCATGGCGGTGTAATGGAAATTGGATACGAGCTGGTGTCCCCCTTCTATCCACTGCCGTGATCCGGTACAAAGAGGGCGAAGCATTGCGTGGCAGGGCAGGGAAAAGGGGGCTTTTCTTTTTTCCCCCTTGTTTTTTTCAGCTCGACTACTGTTTCTTGGGTCCGCTCGCGGGCAAGCCTGGGCCGGGCGGTGCACGGAGGTGTGCATCGACGCTTCTTGACCAGCCCTGGGCATTTTCTTTCTCTCGTTATTTATTCTCTTATGACTTGCGTTTTTCTCACTTTCAGTCGCATGTTGGATCGTCTCCAGGAATCCTCGATACCCCTTACTTAGCCTTTGAGAATTGAACATATGTGTTATGAACATAAGCCATCTTCACTCAACCCTGTCATCCAAGTCTCCCACCAAGACGCCCGGATTTACAATGTTAGCAAGAAGAGGGCTCACCGCTGGCGTGTGGGGAGCAGATGCTTCACCCCTGGCGCTATCAAAAGGAATGAAAAGCCGGTAAAGGCGCGCACCGATAGTCTTGAGGTGCTGGGCCTCGCATTGCCGACTGTCCGTGTGATCGCTCCCCCTATCCCCGGTGGCTTTGGCCTCTGTCTAGCCTCCTCTCCGACGGCGCCATCCAGCCCCCAAGACGCGGTGCACCGGGCGCCAGCACGTGCTACTATCCGATGGAAAGGCCTTTTCTTTTTTGCAACCCGGGGGTTTGAGCCCACGGCCAGATGCACCGTCTTTTGTCATCTACTTGATGGGCCAAGAATCGAATATGGACTTGGCGCGAAGGTTTACCAACGCCACAATGCTCGTCCCTCGTCCACTCTAGCCGAGGATGAGAAAAGGGGGGGCGAGTGGTTAGCCAGAGGAAGCACAACCAGATGACGGCTTGAGGACGGCGTCGAAATATAGAAAAAGAAAGCATCCTGGCTGCGATCCAGTTTGTCACGGTGAGTGATGATGCAGCTGGTGTGGGACACAGCGGCCCGGCCAGCCGAGAATGATTCACATCAAGGCCGTTGAAGCGTCGCTCGAGGCTGAGCCGCCATGGCAGGCTTGGCTGGGCCGGTTTCCCTCGTCGTCCTCTGCCGGCCTTCGTGGCTTGACGTGATTCGCGAACAGACATTGACTCACACACACCTGGACCGACGACGACGGAAGCGCCGGCATCATCGGCGCCGACACCGGGGGGGACTTGTCCTTTATCCCCGAGCGAGGAGGGGTTCGCCGGACTGTGTCCTCGTGGCGAATGGCGAAAAGGGGAATAGAGCATGCATACGAATGGCCTCTCTACCGCCTCCAATCGTTTACATCCATCCTTGCCCCGGCCTGCATGTCTCTTCACTCTGGGAGCAGCGGCCCGCCCCCAAAAGTCCCGTCCTTTTCAACGCCGGCATGGCCTGTCACGCCATTTGACGGCGGTGGAGGGACCGAGAGACAAACAGGTTTCTTTACCAAGGGCAAAACATGTCTTGCCTCGCTGACCTCCAATGGCTTGGCTGAATTGCACCGTCGCAACGCCTGCTGCCGTCCACCTATATTTTCCATCTACGTCATTGCCTACATGTATTTGCATGCCCAGTGCTCTCTTAGCATCAACAAGACGTCATAAAGGCCGCTGCTTCATGAGCCTGGGGAGTTGTTTCGTCAACATCGAGTTTCATGATCACGACTCACACACACCAACGCAGCCTGGTGGTCGGTCACCCATGCAGTTTGTTGTCCTGCACGATTTGAAATCCCTCTTTAGCATGTGCTTTGGCGCATAGCCCTATCCGAGACAGCCGCGGCGGCCAATGACCACGCCCTGTCACCTACACGTCGACTTGTAAACCGCATCCCCTCCATCATCTTCTCTGCTTGACAGACCCCTGCCTCACCTCGCCTCCCACATCTGGCGGCCCATGGCAATGAGCCGGTTAAACAGCTCGTTGCGGACGACAACGGCCGTCAGGTGATGCTCGCGCCCCTGCTTCGTCCTCACCACCAGCCCGTCCACAACCTTCTTCTCCAACGCCCACCCGACCATAATCTTGCTCTTCCAGCCCAGCCCGCCCACCTTCCGCAGCTCGTCAATGTCGGCAATGGCCACGCTCCATGCCGGGTCGACGTCGTCAATGTTGGACGTCCAGCTGAGCGCCGGCGCCGTCGCCGTCGCCGTCACGTACGCGTAGCCCTTGTTGCCCTTGTACCGCGCCCGGAACCGCACGGGGCCTGTCGCCTCGGCCGGCGTGGCCTGCTTGACCACGCCGATGCGCTCGCGTGCGCGTCCGGCCCCGGCGGCGGCTTTGGCTCGGTCGGCTGTGAGGGCTGCCTCGATGCCGCCCTTGGCCGTGCCCTTGACGAGGTTGATGATGCGGCGCGTCATCTTGGGCGGCTTCTTCGATTCGTCGACGCCCTCGTCCTCTGTCAACATCTCCTCAGCCGACGGCTCGATGGCCTCGCGCTTCTCTTGATCCGTAACACCTGTCTCTTCGTTAGCATCCTTCTTTGCGCGCCTATTCGTGAGATGCATGCACCATGCAGGGGCATGGGAGAGCGCCTACCCAGAGAATCCAGTTGCTCAATGGCATCCGTGTCCGGCTCGATGGCTGGCGGTGCGTCGCTCGTCGGCGGTGGGGGCACCGGGGCCTTGTTCCTCTCCCCGATACGGAGCAGCGTGATGGCGAGCTGCGCGTTGGTCGGGACGCCCCTGAGAATCGAGTGCCGCAGCTCGACATACTTTTGCCATCGCGGGTACGTCCTGTTGGCCAAGGCAGCCAGCGGCGTCACGATCGGATCCCCAAAGAAGGCGAATCCGACGGCGAATCCAAGCCCCTTAACCAGCATATACGAGGTGACAAAGAACGACCCGAGCAGCACGGGCACGAGACAGCCCGCCAGGACCAGCCCATGTCGCCGACGGGGGAACGGCGGCGTCGGGCTCAGGGCGTTGCCGAAACGCTCCCAAGTGTCGACGACGTCGGCGAGCATATGCATTGTCGGCCGCGCCTTGTTCCACACAGACCGGGATAACGGCTCCCTCGTCCTGTCATGGGTCACGCTGGTCTCTCCCTCGGCCGTCTTGTCCTTTGCGTCTGACATGTCACCGGCCAGCTGCGTTGGATCCGGGATGCTCTTGTCATTGTGAGGATCGCTTTGTGGATCTTTTCCTGCACTTGCGCTGATGGCGAGCTATTTGCGGGCATCGGGCCGGTCAGTCATTCCCAAGACTCATGAAGATATGGTTCAAGGCGTAGCGAACGTATATGAAAGGGAGGTGCAAGCACGATAGGGGTAACTGAGGAGGGCATAGAGAGGCGAGGCACAGCAAAGGGGCGCTTCTCTCGGTGGACATACAGTTGATAGACTATTGACAAAGTTGCGCGCCTCCTTCTCAACGCCTTCGCCCTTGTGCTTCTCGGCGGCGCCGGTCACTGTGTCCTGGGAGGCGAGGACGCCGGCTCGCGGTTTCTGGAGCCCCCCCGTCCTGGAGTCGATCAAGGCGGGCGGCACAGGCGGAAAACAAACGATGCGGGCACGAGGATACAGAATCAGAGTCATGAGGAAAACCACAACGGTCGGGACGAGCAGGTCCGACAGCCAGGCGACCGCGTAGACGGCCAGGAATGCGCTCGTCCGACGACGTTCGCGCCATGATCTCAGCCGGGCAATGTGCTTCCAGAAGGAAACGAGGGAGACGCCGACGGTCATGTACATGCGCTCCAGCTGGGCGCGCAGCTTCTCTGGCGAAAAGTCCTCGTCGTCGGCAATGTTCATGTCGAGGTTGGCCAGGGGCGGCTCGTCGATGCTCTTGACATGGACGATCTGCTTGTCGAAGCGCCGGATCAAGGTCCAGAGATCGTCGTTGGCCAGCCCGCCCACCACGGGCTGCGGCACGTCCTGCGGCTGCTTGTTCCAGCCCAGGTCTCGGACTTCGGGGGCGGCGTGCTCGACCTGGCTGGCGCCCTGGGCTTGGGGCTCTGCCTCGATGCTCTCGTCGGCCAGGGCGTGGCTGGCCGTCGGCACCTCGTCCTCGTCCATGGCGCCTGGATGCTGTCCCCTTTCTGCGGTTCGGGCTTGCTTTGATGCGTCCTCGCGGTAGTCGGGCAGTTGTGAGGCCATTGGGTGTCGGGGAGAGGGATTGATGGAGGAGGCCATCGTCAATACCTGAGCTCTAGAGTAGGCCGTGTCACAGACAGACGGCTTTCAGTGCGGAAACAGGCTTGCGTCAGACTCGAGCAAACTCGCGTTATAGGCGTGTCGGACTCGAAGACGTCAAGCTGCAGTAGATTCACCAACGGTGCTTGACGCTGGCTTGACGTCATGAGCTGAGGAGGTTGTAGGGCGATGCAAGACATTGGATAACCTTGAATTCGACCTTTGGGGAGCGACGATCGTTGCATCTACATGGGATCTCACTTGGAGTCAGTCAATTCGGGAGCTCCGGTTCGACCTTGGTCAACTGAGTTATTAACTACTTGGTTGAACCAAACCTCTTCATTCCTCTGCTGACAAGACTTTGGTTTCCCACAGCCAAGGTAAGTGAATTATACCAGGGGCGCAAATGCCCCTATCTGCTGCCACGGGGTAGAGAACAATACTTGAGGAACGCGGTGAGCCCCAAATGACAATTGCCCTAGTTTCTCGACAACTTAGTGAGCGTCAGGCAGGCCTCGACGCGCATCGCGGCAAACCCGTGCGCTGACCAACAGTGGCGAGGCTTGCCAACGCGTTTGCTGCCGTCTATTCTTCGTCCGAGGCGCGTCGCCCAAAGGCCCAACCAACAACCGGCTCAGCTGGTGCGCGGCGGTGAGGATCAGCCTTTTCGACGGCAGCCCAGCCCTGGGCGCCTTTGGTGTCACAGGTCCCGGGGCCGGCTGACCGGTCATCCGGTAATCGGATTACCGCCCCGCCCCACGCAAAACCATGTCGTTTTCGAAGGCCCGGCCCTGCGGGGCTGGCGTTTTCTTAGTCGGATTACCGCCATCGGACGGCAAAATCGAAGGTCCACGCCCGCGGGGCCCTGCGCGAGACCTTCGATTTCGGTCTCGCTCACGCGCGTTGCGCTCCACCTCCTCCCACCTCCCTCCTCCACCTCCTCCATTGCCACCGTCGCGACGGCGACCGCCTGCACCATGTCGAACGCGATAGAGGATCCCCGGGTCAGGGCGGCCATTGAGCACTACCTGTTAGATCTGGAGAACACCCAGCCGAAGAATACGAAGCGAAATTATCGTCCCAAGCAGGAAGAATGGAAGGCAAGCCCGCATGCGCGCCCTGCAATCTTCATGTAGATCCATGCATTGACCGCCTCACAGGAGTGGTGTCAAGCCAACTGGCCTGCGATCCCGGACGTTTGGCCGGCCTCGGTACCACAGGGCCAACAGCTACCGGGAGACCTGGTCGATGAAGGAAAGCTCTTGCTCTTCATGAAGGAGGTAGTGGCATCACGTCCTCCAAAGAAAGGAAAGAGGGTCGCCGATGAAAGAAAACGACACCTCGAGGCTCAGGAAGCCAAGAGGGCCGTGAAAAGACGCAGAGCACCATCAGGTAACAGATGTTGATCACGGGATGTGGTGCCAGCCCATCATACTAACACCCAGCTTCCCCCAGCAGATACCATCGTTGTAGGCGGCGGAGGTAGCGAATACGAGTCAGACTCCGACTTGGAGTTGTATGAGTCCACGCTCAAACTACAGTATAATACTGTACGGGGCTACGTCTCGGCCATACAGAAGCTTTACGACGAGCAGAAGAGCCGGGAGTCAATCCTGCGGCCCGGCCACAGGAGTGGCACTGAAGGCGCTCAAACGCAGCATTCTTGCAACGACTTGGAGCCGGAAGAGGAAGGAATACATGGACAGGGAGTTGGAACTCTGAGAGATGTGTATGCGCCGGCGCAGATACCCGACCACACCAACGTGGCATGGTCCGAGAGGAGAGAGATCGCCTGCGCCCTGAGGACGCAGGTGGACTTTCTGCTCGGGAACCACATGCTGCTGCGGTCCGGCAACCGCCTGCCGATGGAGTTGGCAGACTGCTTTCCCCTGGACTTACCCAACGAGGGCTTCAAGGCCCAGGGGTATACCACAAAGGCGCTGGTTGTCGTGATGAACTGTGGGAAGACCAACCAGCACGGCCGCATGGAGTATGGATCTGCTTTGCGGCATCGAGATCCGCGATCTTGTCTCATCGGCGCCCTCGCGTTCTGGCTTTTCTGGCGCTGGCAGGTAGAAAAGGCGGAAAGGTTTCCCGTCTTCCAAAGAAGCGAAGACTGGTATGAAACGAAGGTGCTCCGCCGATCGGCGAAGGAGCCTCAAGGTAAGCGTGATGGCATTCACCGGAATCCCATAACTCAGAGATGCATGGACCCTTTCACTCACCGAATATACAGCTCCGTTGTCGGGCCAGACTGCCCGAGAATGGACGTCCAGGTTCTACAAGAAGGCCGGCATCAAGGTCTCCAAGGTCAGCCACGCGCCTAGAGTGGCCGCGACGCAAAACGCCGACATGGCCGGAGTGGATGAAGGCCAGGCATGTCATCTGCCCTAGGCAAGCCGCCAACCCCCTGGCCTGGGCTGACCCGAACTATACAGATCCGCCGAGCCGGTCGTTGGAATAACGGAGACCAAATGACCGGCTGCTATCTGACTTCCTGCCTTTCGAATTCATGAGGGCCGTGGCCGACTTTGACCCTGAATGGTCGGGGTCTTATTTCGTGCCCCGGGCCACCGTGAGGCCGCCTGTGGTGCTACTCGTGCAGGTCTGGCCTCAACTCGACAAATGGAAAGAGGCCCACAGTAGCCCTTTCTCAGATCTCGGGTGGAGCAGAACATGGCCGCCGGCGCCTTCTTGGAACTCCTGGAGTGGCTTCGAGAGGTGCTCCTGCAGGACGCTGTCTTCCTTCGCGAGTCCTACCCCGACCATCCTATCTTTCAGGATCCGGTCTTCTCTTGCCCCGAGTTTGAAGCGTTCGCCAGCAAAGTTCAAGACACATGCACACGGGACCACGAAGACAGCCATACCACGGTCATTCAAAAAGCGATCCCGGTGGTTGCGGAGAAGCTGCGCACAGTACTGACTCAACAGGTCGCAGCCGAGCAGTTAGCTGAGCGAAGACATCTAGACCTTTTGGGGGCTTCTTACGAACTATGCACAAAGTTGGATGAGTTTGCGCAGGCGACCTACACCGTCACCTTCAGCCCCGGCCAAGGTGCTGCAGGTCAACATGCGGAGATCGCGGGAGCTCATCAACAGAGGCGCCGCGCTCCACGAGAGACGGTCCTCAGGTCCGAGATAGGCCCTTCGCAAGCGGGCGGTCCGACATACGCTCCGCTCTCTAGAGCAGCAGCAGGGAATGGTGCAAGCGGGCCAGGCAAGCCCCAGGGAAGAGCGCATGGCGAGCCGCCTGGGCCGCGCGAACCTCCGAGCTTCAAGCTCCCCGTTCTGTCAAATCTGTACAGGAGCTGCTGCGTCTCTGGCGGCAGGGCTGGGGCGAAATGCCTTCTGTGGATTCTCTTGAGCGAGACTGGGGTGCTCGATGGCGGCCATCTGCAGAGAAGAATTACTTTTCCACGCGCAAGATCATCGTCGATGAGGTTCGGAGGCGGGCCCAGTCGGACGGCTTAACTGAAGATATCGTGGCGAGGCAAATGGACGAAGAACGTGGACCCAGCTCTTTGGATAAGTTGTTCAAGGCCATCCGAAAGGACAGGCAAGGCGAAAAAGGGACACAAACGTGCGTCGGGGCAATTCAACGTCGGTGGTAGCGAAAAGTCGATGGCGCAGTGATTTTGAACACCCGTCTGATAGAATGACGAGGACCTTGGCGGCGAAAGTGCCCCAGGCCGTCAGGGCTGCGTCGCTACAGTCAGCGGTAGTGGCCTGTAGACAGGGTATGCATCCGCTAAGCGCCGCTGTAGCTCCAGCGCGTCAAGGCTAGAAAATGCTTCAAATCACCGCAACCTCGCAACCGACAGGATGTAGGACCTTAGACAGGGTGCATTCTGATCGCACAAACGCAGGCTATCCAGTCGAACTGGTTTTGTCGTCGTCGGTCCCGGCTTTCGCGCTTTATGGCGCTCCGAAGATGACATCAACCCGGCAGAGGTGATGTCAAGGGCAAGCGGGTAATCGGCGGTAATCTGCGGGGTAATCCGCTGACCGCCCACCAAAGCCGGACCTGTGACATCCACTTGCTGTCACGGCCCAACGTGGGCCATAGACCAATGTGTAGGGAGGAAGGTTGGGCTCACGCCCACACGCACCCATAGCGCGCCCCTAGCTCCGGAAGCGGCGTGATGCCCTCGTCCGCATCCGGAGGCACTAAATGCGGCAGTCAACCTATTTGCGCACGTCGACTTTAGGCGATGAGCCGAGCTGCGCACTTTAGTGTCTGATCCGTCGCAGCTCGGCTGATCGCCTAAATGATAGCCATGATTATAACAATGCCTCTAAATAGCAAATAGTTCATGCTGGCTAGGAGCTTGCTCTGAAGCTGTACTCTGTCTGTTCTTGCCCTCATGTCACCTGCCAAAGCAACGCACAGCAAAGATATATTCAGTTCAGAGGCAAGAGACTAAGCCCTTGACAACAGCACGATCGACCGTGGCGCCCAACGAAACTCACGGAGGTGGCCAAACGGCTCCTTCATCCAACTCCGCAATGGAGATGTCCACCGGCACCGCATCCATGGCGTGCCAAACATCCTCGGCCTCTGATGTTGTAGGTCCAGTCAAGGCCGCAAATAACAGTGCCCAGTATGCCACCACCGCAAGCAACAGTGAGACTTGTGAGAGTTTCTCTGAGGTTGTATCCGATGACTGCCCGAGTGAATCCAGCCGTGGCAGCCTCGCCACCCCGTGGACACCACCAATGGACGTGGAAACTTTTGATGAGGTCGATGAGTACACGACCTATCCCAGTCTCCCGGCGACTGTCATTTGTCCAGAGGCGGACACCGAGACTCGGTACGAGCTCTCATAGCAGCCGTCCAACTATCATCCACAAGTGGAAGGCGATGACTGCGCTGTGGTGATATTGGTATATGCTGCTTGGGCACTAATGACGAGCCGAATGACGACCTCGGAGCGAGTAGTCTTTGACACAATCGACGGCAGTCCGGATCGGCCGGCGGTGAGGCCATTGCGTGTCCTAAGCGTCTCTAGTCGTACTGTTGGCGAGTATTTGCAGGCCGTGGGAGCACATACCAGCTCCGAGGAAAGCTATACGGCTTCGCCAGACTGCAAAAGCAAAAGACATCCAACATCGAGCACTCTCATTGTTACGAGGACCAGCGGCGACGCCAAAAGCAACAATGGCACCATCAGAAACGGCCTGCCCAGCCATGCGGACTATCCTTTGGTGCTCGACTTACAGCTGCGAGGAGCTCGGCTACAAGCGATAGCCATGTCCAACTCTAGGTTCACTGAACCGTGGATTGTGTTCAAGCTACTCAACCGCCTCGAGTTTTGCACAAGTGGGCTCCACAAAGCAGACTCAAGAACGTGTCTAGCTGACATCGACCTCATGTCACCGGACGACCTAGAGCAAATCTAGAAATAGAACGGCACTCTCCCTACGGCGGCGGAGCGGAGCGCTACATACACGACATATTTGAAGATCAGGTCTATTCGCAGCCACTAGCCCTAACAGTCGATGCATGGGACGGTCGATTGATATACAAGGAACTAGATGAACTCTCCGAGAAACCAGCCGGCTACCTCATAGACGTAGGTCACAGCCTTCATCAACGGCAATGTTTGCCGTCTTTACTTCCGGGAGCACTAGAGTGCCGAAGGGGACGATGCTCACGCACACCAACTACTCTTCCGCCCTCGCTTATCAATTCAGTGACTCAGTTTCACCAAGGACTCTAGATTATTTGACTTTGCCTCCTACGCCTTTAATGTCTCCGTTCATAACGTGTTTGCGACTCTCACATCAGGAGCGTATTTATGCATTCCCTCCAATAAAGACCGCTACAACAACATCTCTAAGGTCATAGCCGACATACGCGTCACGATTGCCCTATTGACACCCTCAGTCACGCGGCTAATAGACCCGGATTCACAAACTATTCTAAAGACAATGGTATTTACCGGCGAGCCTCTATATATGGACGATACTACCTGATAGTGGGGAAAGATCGACGTGGTCAACGAATATATGCCAGCAGAATGCACCATCAACACTATCAACGGCCGACCTATCAGCCCTAAAGCTACGACGAACATAGGGTTGCCGGTTGAAGTAGCCGGTTGGATCGCCGACCCAGAAAACCATCAAGTACTTGTTCCGATCGGCTATGTTAGGGAACTGCTCGTGGAAGGTCCGCTAGTCAGGCGTAGATACATTAGCGACCCCATCGTAACCGCCGCTTCGTTCATCCAAGATCCAAAGTAGCTGTTGCGTGGTGTTTCCGGCCACCCGGGTCGGAAAGATCGGCTATACAAGACTAGAGACCTCGTCCGATACTATGCAGACAGAAGTCTCAGCTACTTGGGCCGGAAGGACGCCCAGGTTAAGATCCGCGGCCAGAGAGTGCATCTCGGCGACGTCGAGCATTAGACCCAAGTCTACATGCTTGAAGCGCAGCAAGTTATTGCTGATGTTATAGAACCTCAAGCCATCAGCCCAGTTCCAACTTTAGCTGTGTTCGTACAGTCCCCGAAGACAGGCGGAAACACGGCAACAAATGCAGGCTCCGTCCAGATACGGGCGGTCCGAGCTGATATGCAGACCAAGCTGTCTCAGCATATGCCCTCATACATGGTTCCCACGGTGTCTTTCTAGAAGAAAAAGCTGCCGATGACGCCGACTGGCAAGATGGACTGAAGGATGCTGCGAGAAGTCGGCTCTTCGTTCTCCGCCAAGCAACTCGCCGAAGCCAGGGCAGCCCGCCAGGATAGCCCAAAAAGGCAACCGACTTACGAGATAGAAGAGCGCATGAGAAACATCTAGGCCCGTATATTGGGCATGATGCCCCAGGAAATCCATCTGGGAAGCAACTTCTTCCACATCGGCGGCGATTCTATTGCATCGATGAGGGCTATTGCATACGCCCGCGGGCTTGGAATCCAGGCTATGGTTGCGGATGTATTCCAGCATCCGTCTCTCCACGAATTGGCCAAGAATTGCTCTCAAACTCTTACAAGGTCTCCAAAAGACATCCCCGCGTTCAGCCTCTTAAGCTCCCATTTCGATCACGCCTTATTCGTCCAGGACATATCTCCCCGGTACGCTCTAGACCCGATGACGATCCAAGACGCATACCCCTACACTCGGCTCCAGGAGTGCCTCATGTTCTTGACATCCAAGCGACCTAGAGACTACATTGAGCAGAGTGTCCTCGAGTTGGCTCAGGACTTATCACTAGAGGGCCTGCGCAATGCATAGGAGCAGGCAGTCCAGGCCATGCCGATTCCACGAACCCGGATTGCACAGCATAACCATTTAAGCCTGGTACAGCTAGTCCTGGACGATACAGATAACTAGGATAAAGCAAAGGGCTAGACAAATATCTCGCCGCCCACAGAAAGCGCTCGATGGGACTAGGGGGCCCGCTATCGCGCTCTGCGCTGGTCAGAGACGAGGCGGGTACATGCAAGTGGTTGGTATAGACAATCCGTCACGCCATTTATGATGGCTAGTCCATTCGCCTCGTCACTGATGCTGTCGCCGTGGCATATAGGGGACAGAGCATCCTCCAAGGACCGCAGTTCCAGGCTTTCATAAAGTTCGTCCAGGACCAAGATAAGAGAGCGGCAATGAACTACTGGCAACGGAACCTACAGGGCTTCGACTCAGCTCCCTTCCCACCAACTATGCCGTCGGTCGAGCAGCCTGTCGCAGACGCGGCTATTGCGCACAGCTTTGCCACTCCAAGCGGTAACCACGGATACATCACAGCATCCATACTCATCCGGGCGGCGTTGGCCTTAGTCGTCGCACGAATGGCCGACTCAAATAATATCATCTTCGGCTCTACCCTACACGGTCGTAATACGGCCGTAACCGGCCTAGATAAAATGGTGGCCCCGGCAATTGCGACGGTCCCAGTGCGCGTGAGGTTCTACAGCACCCAGTACGTGTCCAGCTATCTCCAGGTCATTACACAGGAAGCGGCCAAGGTAATGCCCTATGAGCAAACGGGTCTACAGAGGATCGCCGCCGTATCTTCTAATGCAGAGAAGGCCTACAAGTTCCAGACCCATGTCGTCATTCAACCCGAGGATTGCATCCAGGGCAAAAGCCTTCTAGGCCAGTAGCGGAGCGACAGCCAGGACCAGTAGTTCAGCACATATGCGTTAACAGTTAAAGTATAGCTACGGTCGGATAGGACCTTTGCCTCAGCCATATTTGACTCGAGGACGATTCAGTCGTAGGTGGTAAAAGGCATACTGCAGCGACTAGAGTAGACTATGCACCAGCTTCACCATACCACACCTTCAGAGCTTAGGCGGAATCAACATATCGTCAGCAGAGGACTTGGAACAGATTTGGCAGTGGAACGAGAAAGTTCCCGAGCCAGTGAATTGATACGTCCACGACCTACTCGCCAACCAAGTCCAAGCCCAGCCAGACAGTCCTACCATTTGCGCGTGGGCTGGGGAGCTAACGTACCGCAACCTAGAGGAACTTTCGACCAAGTTGTCACACTCACTACTGCAGCTTGGAGCTAGCTTGCACAAGGGCCTGATGCCCCTTTATTTTGACGAGTCCATGTGGACAGCGGTAGCCATCTTCTTTAGCGTCCTCAAGGCCGGTATCGGCTTTATCCTCCTTGATCCACATCTTCCAGAGCAAAGAATACGAGACATTATCGATCAAGTCAGAAGCAAAGTTATAGTAACTTGTCCCACTAGAGAGATCCTGTGCTCGCGGCTGGTAGAAGCGACGGTCGCCATTAGCTGGGACTACTTTTCTGGCCAGCTTGATTAGACGGCGTCAGAGCTTCCATCTTTCGGTCCGTCATCAATCGCATATGTCATCTTCACCTCTAGAAGTACAGGAACACCAAAAGGCGTCATGGTAACGCACGCAAACGTCGTCTCTGCTCAGCACCATCAACTCGAGCCCATAGGACACACGCCGGAATCAAGGCTATTTGACTTTGCCTCGTATAGCTTCGACGTCTCCATCAGCAACATAATTTCTATGCTGGCATGCGGCGGTTGCCTTTACGTCCCCAGCGAGAGTGACCGCATAGATGACATCAAGAAGAGTATCTTGTCTCTACGCGTGAATGTGCTTGACCTAACGCCGTCTACCTTGCAACTTCTTTTTCTAGAGAGACTCCCCGCGGTGCGTCAGCTAACACTAGGTACGCGAGGCGGATATTAAGAAGTGGTGTGGCAAAACCCGTATATGTAACGCATATGGCCGGGCGAGTGCACACCGACCGCCGCCATCAACGCCAATCCGATGGAACCTTAACTAAATGGCGACCCACATTAGGAATGGTGCAGGCGTTGTGACGTGGATCGTTGATGCTGACGATCATGACGAGCTGCTGCCACTGGGGCATACCGACAAGCTGCTTCTAGAGGGACCTCTTTTCGAACGAGGCTATTTCAGCGACTCAGCCAAGACAGCAGCGGCGTTTATTGAAGACCCCAAGTGGTTGTTGAGGGGATCTATCTCTCACCCCGGCCGGGAAGGCAGACTGTACAAGACCGGCGACTTGGTCAAGTACAACCATGACGGTTCTCTTGCGTTTGTCGGTCGCAAAGACACTCAAATCAAGGTGAGAGGGCAGCGTGTCAAGCCAGGAGAAAGCGAAGCCGTTTTGCGGAGTCACGAGAGCGTGGACGGCGCTGTCTTTCAACGTCTGACTGACCAAGAGCTGTGGCTTGTTGCGTTTGTCACTTTGCGCGAGGGCGATGGCAAAATACCACAGAGCCAATCACCTGTTGACGACAAGACACAATTAAAGCAAAAAAGGATTCAGGCCTGGGAAGAAGATTTCGACGGCGAAACTTATCTGGCCATCGGCGCCACCGAGGCCGAAAACATCGGACGGGACTTTATTGGGTGGTCGTCCATATACGATGGAAGTGAGATAGACAAAGTCGCGATGAACGAATGGCTGGACGACACAAGCGGACCTACTATTATATAGGCTTAAACTATAGCTTCTTTTAGTATAGAACTAAGTATAACTCTATATATAATAACTAAGGTTTCCTAAGGATTAAGGGAAACTCTAGTTAAGGGATTATATAGGCTATAATAAGCTTATAGTAACTATTAACCTTTATAGCTAGCTATATAATACCCTTAATTACTATACCTTTTATCGCGCTTAAGGCGCCCTTTACTTACCTTAAGGCGATCTTTTCTAATAGCACTTATATCTCTCGTATAAGCGCCTCGTTAACTATAGCGTAGTACTAATAGCCTTTATTTATAAAGGCGGCGTATAACGACCGGTGTTATTCCTAAGGGATAAACCTATCGAGGGGTTTATATTAGCAGATATAATAGGGCGTAGTCTAAGCAATAATATATATATTACGTTAGTAATAAGTCGGAGGTCGTAGACCGTAGACTATAACTAGGTAATTAAGTAATCGGAATTAGAGATAAGATCGTAATAGAGATCGTAATAATTATATTAAAAGCTATCGAGCTATCTATCTAAAGGAGTATTCCGTTCCTTCCTTATATATCTCGAGAGCTTCCCTAGATCGCCGAGAGCACTTGGTGATCCCGTCGCCTAGGAGCGCTAGGGCGCTAGGGCGATCTTACGATCCTAGCCGTAGAGCGTTAGAGCGCTAGAGTGACCCGTCGCTCTAAACTTAATTGGCCCGTTGGTCCGTCTAATATTCCTTGCTCCCTACGTTACGTGTCCTCGTAATATATGCTAGTCCCGCGGTTCGCTAGACCGTGGTCGTAATAGGATGCCTCCCCTCCTTTTAGTCTTGCCCTTAAGACCTACTACCTTAGCCGCCGTATATAAATATACCCTTATCGCGTCGTGCGTAAGTATGCCGTTCCTTATTCCTTTATCCTTTTAGGATATATTGCTAATAGTATATCTAGTCGTGTTTAAAAATCCTATTCTCGTAATTCCGATAAATCGCGTTAACGATCGGAGCTAGTATCCTAGACCGAGATCTATAGTATTAAAATTATACCTTACTCCCGTTATTTTCGGTTAGGCCTAACTTATAAGGTCGGCGAGCGTTCTAATCGGTGTTCCGAATATACCTCTATAGGCCGTTCTTATAATAGGTATAATATAGCGTCCGCCCGTTTATTTTATCCCTTTCTTTCCTTATTATTCCTTTTCGCTAATATTCCTTCTTTTTCTAGTTCGTTATATTATAAATTAATAGCAAAAGATTAATTCGGATAAATAGAAAGTAAAAGAAGTATTAAAGGAAGCGATAGCTCGCCTAGCTCGGATTAGGAAATAGAAGCGTTTCCTAAAGGACCGAGGTAGTAAGTTATTTTAGCGGGGTATATAAGCTATTAATAAAGAAGATAGTATAATGCGTTCTTTTCGAGATAAATCGGTTCGTTTATTAAATAAGGAAACTATTGCTATTAGCGAGGTTTAATCGTTTAGTGCCTTAGATATATTAGACTAAGATACTATTCTTAGTAACCCTATATTTCCGAGTAAGGGTTCGCCTAGTAGAACTATTAGAGTAGAGAACCGTAGTAGGTTAAGTACTTAAGTAGTTCCTAGGTATTTTCCTTTAGTCCGTATCCCTTTTACTTAATAAGGTATTCTTATTGCTAACCTTATTTTCTTATATCTAGTATTTATTCTACTTTATATTCTTAATTATCGTCGACTTCGATTTTTTCCTATAGTTTAGCGTTTCGTAGCGCTAGTTTTAATAATAAGATATAAAATATCGGGTATATCTATATTATTATTAGTAGCGAAAGTTCGTAGTTAACTTTTAAAATAGTTTTCTTAACCTTAAACGGTCTAAGTTTCTTAAAATCTAATTTATTACTTAGTCGTTTTATTTTAATATTTCGTCGTATAAGGTAGACTATATCTCCCTTTTAAAAGATTAGTCCCTATAATCTTTTCCGATTATAGTAAGTAGATATTCGTTCTTTAACGAATTAAAGTTCTTATTATATTTCTTTATATAATTTTTATAGCTAATCTACTTATAGTATCGCTCGTTCCGCTTATAGTCCTTATCGAGTAACCTTAAATACTTCTAGGTTATATCCGTAATTAGCGTATACTAGTAAGAGCTTAGTTATTTCCGTAACTAAGCTATTATAAGCTAGTTACGCTATTAATAGCTATTTAACCTAATCGTTTTATTTATAGCTAATATAGCATCGTAAATATTATTTAAGCGTTTAGTTAAGTCGTTCTATTTATCTATCTATTTATAGGTAATAAGCTATACTAAGCTTATATTTCGTCCCTAATTATACTATAAGAGCTTGCTAAAATTTAGCTATAAACGTGCTTCCTTTATTAGAGATAATCTCGTTCGGTAGTCCGTAATTGCTAATAATTATTCGTAGGAATATATATACTAGCTCTTCCGTATTGCTTACTTCTTTATATAGTAAAAAGTATCCGTACTTTATTAATCTATTAGTAATAACGAATATACTATCGTACTTAACGTTAGTTATAGGTTCTTTTAACGGTAGTAGCTTTATAATATAGTCGAAAGCTATTAAATCCTATAGTTTCTTTAATACTAGTAGCAGTTATAATTCTCTATATAGTTTATATCGTTTAGCTTTACTTTATACGTAAAGTTTATATTCTTTAGTAACTTATCGTACTACTTCTTTAAGCTATAGGAAGTTATATTATCGTCTAATCCGTTCTATTATTCTTTAGATTCCTTAGTATCTATATATTAGATATTTATATATATCTTATATAACTTTATCTTATAATTCTAGTAGTATCTAGATTTTGTTTTTATATATTAGAACTTCTAAATATTCTATATCGTATCCGTTTAGTACTTTATATTCTTTTATTTATTTTAGGATCTTTTAGTAAGTCGAGTCGTTAGGTTATACTTTAAATATTATATTTAGCTATCGTTGCTAGTAGTTCCCGTTTTCGTTGATTTCTAGGAGCTGCCCTTCCGCTATAGGTGCCCCTATATTATAGTTACTTCGTCGACTAAGGGTATTAGCTCGACCGTTTTCTATTCCTTTTCTATAGATTATTTCGTAGTCGAATTCTAATAAGTATTCGGCCTATTAGATCTATCGTCCGTTTAACTATTACGTCGTTGCAAAATATAAGATATTCTTATAGTCTATATAGACCTTAACTTTATATTTACTTCCGAGAAGGTAGTATCGAAATTCCTTAAAAGCTTAAATAATTACGAGGAATTCTTTATCGTAGATAGGGTAATTAAGTTCTACGCTATATAGCTTTTTCGAGTAAAATATAATTAGTCGTAGTCTTCCTTCCTTATCTTTTTATCCGATTTATACTCTTAGAGCAAAGTCTAATATATCGGTTTTAAGTTCGATTTATCGTTTTAGATCGAAGGTAGTTAAGACTAGTTCTTACGTAATCGTAGTTTTAATATATTCGAAAGCTTCGTTAGCTTTATCGTCCTATATAAATTCTTTTTCCTTCTTCGTTAAGTCGTATAGTAGTGCTATAATCTTTCCGAAATCTTTAATAAATCGTCGGTAGTAATTTATAAATCCTAGGAAACTTTATACGTCCTTAACGTTCTTTAGCGTTAGCTATTCTTTAACTAAGTTAATCTTATCTTATTATATCTATATCTCTCCTAGTAAGATTATATATCTAAGGAAGTCTACTTCCTATATATAGAACTTACTTTTCTCTAGTTTAACTAGTAACTTCGTATTCTAAAGTACGCGGAGTACCTTATAGACGTATTCCTTATATTCTTCTAGGGTATCTAAGAAGATTAAGATATTATCTAGGTATACTACTATAAAGATATCTAAGTATTCGCGTAGGATATTATTAATTATCCGTTAGAAGGTAGCTAGTATATTTATAAGTCTAAATAGTATTACTAGATATTCGAATAGTCCGAATTTCGTTTTAAAGGCTATTATCTATTCGCGTCCCTTTTTTATGCGTATTAAGTTATAGGCGCCTTTAAGGTTAAGAGCTATAAACTATTTTTTACTATATAGTCGATCTTATAGTTCCGATATAAGCGGTAAAAGTATTTAGTCCTTTATTATAATATCGTTTAAGCGTTTATAGTCGATAACTAATCGTAGCTTACCGTTTTTCTTTAGAATAAATATAACTAGATAGCCTGCTTTAAATATTAATATTCGTATATATCCTTTTCGTAGATTCGTTAAGGTAGTCGCGTAGCGTTTATAGTTGCTTTCGTTTGGGTTATAGATTTTATAGAACGTCGGCGTTATTCTATCCTTAAGATAAATTTCGTGGTCTTATTAGCTATATTCGGGTAACCCTATCTCGAGTTCTTCCTTAAAGAGTTTATTATATTTCCGGTATTCCTAGGAGATATTCTTTATTTTATCTTATAGGCTTTATTCTTTCTTTTAAGAGCTGGTTTCTCTTAACTCGAGCTCTTTATTAATTTATTTAAGGTCTTTCCTTAGAGTAGCAATAACTCTTTAGATCTTCGTATTATATCCTTTATTCTATTTATATCGGATGCTAGGTTATATAGCCGTGTTAGTTAGTACGTAGGTCTTATTAGTCGATTTTATTGTGTCCGCTGGTTCGGTTACTATTTTCGTTTATATCGCTAAAGCCCGTAATAATTTACTTAAACGGTTATCCCTTTTGTCCTATTTAGTAGCTAAATTATCGTAAAATTTTACTTTCTCTTAAATCTACTAGTCCTAGAAACTTATGTCTTCGTTCTAACGCAGCTAGCTAGTTTTCTAGTTAATTAGTAGGTTGCTCTCCTATAGCTATAGAAGCCCTAATATAAGGTCGTGTTCTCTAATATCTATAATATCGAAGTTAACTTATTTATCGTAGCCTTAGATATTAATATCGAGGTAATTAATCTTTATATTAATAATTCCGTTGTTATAGTTAAAGGCCTCTCCTTCGATATTCGTAAGTTTATATAGATCTATCTTATATCTCTATATAAGTCGGTAATAATTAACGACTCTAGGTAAAAC